TGAGGAAATTGCACTTCATTTTTTTTTCATATTACATTTTATATATATAAATATAGGCCTCAAGACCGACAATCCTCTTTCATAAACTCAACAGCTTCTCTTATAAAGGACTGAAAGTTGTGATCCCTCCACTTCCTTTACATTAAAAAGACTAACCCCTTTTCTGATGGTAAGAGACTTTCTTGCTCCCGTTTCCAGCCTGAACTTGTTCACAGTCAATTTGGACTTGCTCAAAGGTCTCTGCTAATGAGCCACCCAAGGGGACGCTGCCAGTAGTCCTGATGGTGGGCTGTGCTCTGTGTTGAACTAACTGGTTGTGAGAGAGCTACGGAAACTCAACACTGGGTTTTTCTTCCAAATGCCCCCAAAGTAGAGCTCTGAGCAACCTAGTCTAGTGGAACGTGTCCCTGTCCATGACAAGGGGGTTGAAACTAGATGATTCTTAAGGTCTCTTCCAACTCAGACCATTCTGTGATTCTCTGAAAGTGCAGCTAAAGGCAGAACTGTGGCCTTGACTAGGAGACCTGGGCTGGGTTAGTGGGTGGGTGCCTTGTGGCCTCAGGTTGGTTCAGTGACTGATTTCATTTCTAGTCTAGATGTTGGATGCTAATGCATAGGGCTCCCTGTCTTTTCCTAGGACTCTGTTTGTGGCTTCCAGGGAAGGACAGTGGCCTCCTCTCTTCTCCATGATCCACATTCGAAGGCATACACCCCTCCCTGCCGTCATGTTAATGGTAAGGAGATCTGGCTATGTGAACATGCTCTGTTCTTGCAGTCTTGGCTTTCCTGCAAAGACTGGACAAGCTGAGGAGTTTTAAAGGTTGTTGAGACATTAATTCAGCCTCTGAAAAATAAAGAAGACACGATACAGGAAATGGCTGCAAAGTATTACATCCCCTTGAGCCAGCAGTGCCATCAATATCTAAATACACTACTTTTAAGTCCCTGCCTTATAACCTTGGACACCTTTTTCAAAAGTGCTCTTGAGAGTACCAATAAGCTTTGGCTTTTTGGAAAATGAAAATTCCCAAATGAGCATTTGCAGAGATGGTTTTTGTTTGGTTGGTTTTTTGTGTGTTTTTTGTTTGTTTGTTTGTTTTGTTTTGTTTTTTTAATGGCAATGGTCCAGCTACATCCTAACTGTGCTGCAGTGCCTCTTGCAGCTTGGCTGACCTCTGAAAACTTAGCAACTGTCTTTGTAGGTAGCCCATGTACTGGCAGGCCTTTGGATCTTGCATGTTTTAATTGCCCTGCCTTGGACATAAGGCATCAAACATTTTGCTGATCTTGAAAGGATTGCTCCTTTCTGTAGCCCAACAGAAGAGTGTGTTTAGGCCTTTTGCCTTCAGTCTGTGACACTGTTTGTAAAGCTCTCTGACCTCTGAAATGTTGGGCCTGTGAAGTAGCTGCAGGGGGGCTTCAGGAGGTGACCCATGTTACCCTTTCTAGTCTGAGGACCATAGCAAGGCTTTAATGACTGTGTTTCATCTTCACACTGTTCAGTTCCCTTTGGTCACTGCCATGGTGTGTGTTGGAGATATCTACCATCTAATGAACTTCTTCAGCTTTTCCCGATGGCTCTTCATAGGATTAGCCACCCTTGGGCTCATTGTCCATCGCCACCGTCACCCAGAGCTGCACAGCCCATTCAAGGTAATGTACACGGCAGGATGGAATGCGCAGGCTTGTCAAATCTCTCTTTTGTTTGCTAGTAATTACAGCATTACATGGTCATAGTTGCATTTAGGCTCTAAGGATCTCAATCCCTGATGCTCAGTAAAGGCATGTGGAGAGCTCCTGAAATTGGTTGATGTACCCAAACAGCCCGATGTGATAAATCCTATAAAGCCAGTTCTATGTGGTGTCACTAGCTGCATCTGTTAGAAGAACACTTACTCCAGGTGACAAAATTTCAGGCTGGGAGCTGGGGGGTGTAGAAAGCAGTTCCTACACTCATCTCTCGTGGGCTACAATGAGGGACCCTTGCCTGGATTTTGTTTCAGGGGTAGGTAATTCTCAGCTCTAGCCGACAAGGAGGAAAGTTTTGGGCTTGGGGAAAAAAGAGTGGCCAGAGGGGTCCTGGGAGCAAACTTGGCTCAAGGGGAATCATCTGCTGGCATAGAAATATTGTCTAGTATAAAGCGATGGCCCCCCGGTGCCCCTTCTTAAGCTGTTGGGTGCTGGGATCTTCTTCATGTCAGCTGGAGTTGGTGCTGGAGCAGCTTTCTTACACTTGGGGCACATTTCCCATGGCTGGATAATGTGTAGAAGGCATTTGACCAGGGTGGTGCTTGAGGCAGGCACAGTTTGTTCCTGTCTCTGGAGACGCCTGCACGGTACCTCCAGCCAGGCCTGGGGAGGAGAAGAGACCTCGAAGGCCACTGGCAGTGGGCAGATGGTCAGCAAGAACCTTGGGGGACAGAAATGCTTCTCAGGGCTCCTCCTTGGGCTATGTGCATACTGATGGAAAGTTTGGGGTAATTTTTCTTCTTGCTCTTTGCTGTAGACAGCATGTTTAGCAAAGACCTTGAAGCTTCCTAGTTTGTTATCTGGCTGCACTCATGCATGCCTCCAGAACCAGACTTTAAATCAGTTTTTGCTTTTTCTTTCAAACCAAGCTTCTCAGGACAGGTTTATTAGTGCTGATGGTTTCAGTTGCTGAGATTTTGCCCTGGTTTGTTTTAGACGAAGATTCAGAATTTTAACAGCTCCTAAATGCTGGTTAAGCAAGGGAGGGAAATACCGAGCTTTTGGTCAGTCGGGTTGTTTTCCGCCCCTCCTCTCCCTAGTTTTACAACGACTTGAAGCCCACAGCGCAGCTCTCTGCAAGAGGAAGAGCTGCTCTCAAGTGGCGCGGGCACATGCTGCGCTCTAGTGGCAGGACTCAGACCGGCTCCTGCCGTGGGCCAGAGGAGAACAGAACAGGACACGCGTCCGACTGTGCTGGTATTTATTCTCCCCGTAGCATTTTGAGTTGAAAATGGTGAGAAAACACCGGTAAGAGGAAGGGGAAGTCCTCTCACTCGCCTTTCAATCACATGTGCAGCATGAGTGCGTACCCATAGGAGAGGCTGGCAGGGAATGCTCTGGCTGGAAAGACAGCAGGAGCACGTAAGTGTGATGGCTGGATGGCTGCCATATCCAGAGCAACTAATCTCTTCCATCACTGCTCACCTTGGCATGGTGAGCACTCAAAATAAGATCTTTATTACTGGAAAGAGATTGTGACCCTTGATGAGACCAGCAGCTCCTCCATTCCATCAGCCATGGCAAGGAGGTATTTACTTGGCTGAGTTTGGATCCAGAGATGGAGAGGGTGTTTCACAGTTTTCTTATTTATTGTAGTCTTCTGATTTACTCTCTAAATAACGTAGATGAATTGGCTCATCCAGCAGGGTACAGCTAAAGTGCTGAGTACTGCTTTCGTCTTTTATCAGGGTGTTGCTGAAGCTCATGTTTTTGGTGCAGGTACCATAGAGAGAGTGAGTCTGGCTTATCCTGTTTTAGTCACTGTAAGTCTTTGGAGGGCTGAAGGCAGATCAAAACAAGTCGAGAGTTTTATAATTAAAGAACAGTTTGATTCAAAGTGTCAGTTCTATCCTTGCCTTCAGATTTTCCACCAGCAGTTGCCCTAGGTGTCAAGTAGATAAATGTGCATGTGCAGGAGCAATGGGGCATAGGTGACTTCTCTCCTTGCTTGGTTTCCAGTTGCAAGTGAGGTTTATATTTTGATGCACATGATTATAGGAGGCATGCACCTCACAGGGCACAATGATCTCTGGATCTGCTATGATTGTTTGCAATCTGATTGTACAGAGGCACTGTGCAGGACAGATACATGCTTCTTCTTATCTTCTTTAGATGAAGAAGTAAATACAGTGTGTACTGGCGCATATGGAGGCTGATTTGCTACAACCGTCAGTTTTGCCTGACAGTCTTCTGTACTCTTTTCTCCAGGTTCCCCTGTTTGTTCCTGTCTCTTTTACCATCATCTGCCTCTTCACAGTGGCAATGTCTTTCTACTCAGACCCTGTGAGCATTAGCATCGGATGCACCACGGTTTTAAGTGGTTTTCCAGTCTACTATGTCATAATTCATAGGCAGATGTCAGACCGTTGCCGTAACCTGTTTTGTAAGTATGAGTTTGAGTATTGTGGACCTAAACACACTCAGGATGCTGGTTGTTCCCAGGGCTCATCTCTAATGCAAACTGCTCCACGACCAACAGGCTTCATGAAACCTAAATCATGACCCCTGGCACCCCTTCAGCACCTTTCGTAAGGCACAGTCTCCACAGCCAAATTTGTTTTAACAAAGACAGGGCTGAGGTCTGCCAACAGGAGGAACTGAGAGGGTCGCTTTCACACCCCAGCCCTGGTTCCTACTAAACTTTATTGTATCTTTGAGATCACCTACTCTGGGTCAAATTTGTCTGAGACTGAGCAACAAGACCAAAAGTTAGGATGGAGACACTGACAGGCAGACACTGTAACCTCTTGTTATTAACAAATGTAATTGCTGAAAGGTTGGGGGGGAGGACGGGCAGGAGAAGGCAGTGCTGCCTGAGGTCTGTCTGCCTGGGGAAGAGGCCAGGATGGTTAAGGCACAGATGTGGCCATATAAATGAAATACCTCTCTGCTCCATGCAGTGTCTAGTACAGATTTCCTTTGCATGTAGCTCTTATTTTCAGCCATATATCAGGATTTCCTCTGGACTAAGCTTCCTTCCTTTTTTTCCCACCCTTTCAGATTATCTTACACACAAACTACAGTTACTGCTGGAAGTTGTCCAACAAGAAATCAAGACTTATTGAGAAAACTGTCAGAACTCACAGGAGACAATAAAACCTACTTATTCCATTTCTGACACCTCTGATCCTTCCAAAAGCAGGCCATGCTTTTATTCTTTTAGTCACTGCAAATGAGGATGAACCTGAGCCAAAACCTTGCTGCAAGTGTTCCTAAGCTTGCCAATGGGGATTGGGATGCACGTGTCGCATCTGCTTCTGTCCTTTTCTTTTTTTCAGAAGAAAAAACTAGCTCTCTGAAATGAGCTTGCTTTACCTACAAAGTGCCTTTGAAACCAAGATCCTAATTTTGCAGCCCAGCCTGGTCCTGAGTAAAATTGTGTGTGTATACACACACAATATTTTATTTTCCTAACTTGGCAAATAGAGGAAGGAAGCGTGTTGAAGTACTTAGAGTCCAATACATGGAAGCCAAATGCAAGTTTCAAACTGAAGTGCTACAGTGCTGCGGACAAGCATTATGAAGGGAAAGAGATGGGGAGAGCAAATTAGAGATAAGGCAGATGAATCGGAAAGGAGGAGGCAGGGGGATAAAATTTAATTTACTAGAAAGTAGAGATTCAGGTTAGTAAGATATTTTAAAACCATTTAAAATTCAAATATTAACAAAGTAATGTCAGACTGTTTTACTTTGATTATTCTATAAGCAGAATAAGTTTTTTTAACTTTGAAATTATCTTTCAACTTCGAATTTTATTTTTCTAAAATGACATTTTAAAATGTACAAACACATTAAACAGAACCAGCTGAATATCAGCTGGAATATGACAGAATAGACCCTGATCCCTCCCTCAACTTCCCAGCCCCACTGCTCTCCAGTGAAGTTGAAAATCCAAGATTTAGCCCAACTGCAGTGAAATACAATTTCTCCTGTAGTTAGATGAGACCACTGATGAGACCTGGGCAGATTCCTGAATCAGTGCATCATTTAGTGCTGCAAGAAGACATGAACAACTTCATATTAAAGCTTTAACTTCAAATCTGCAGGCAGATGGCTTGCTGATTCAATACGTAAATGCTCATTTGAACTAATGGTATAAGAGAGATTTCTGTTATTGGATTACTTTGGTTTACATTATTAATGTGGCAACATTATGTCCAGATAAACCAGCAATTAGCTATTTCCCAGTCACGTAACTGTTAATCTTTTCCTAAAAGATGGGAAGTAGCATGCTGGGACTCCTCTCATGACTGCTGGAGAGAGCAACAGCAGAACATGGAGCATTTTTAATCATTTGTATCCAGCATTTATGTACTTACAATAAAAACAAAGCACCATTTACAAATCCGATGTCATCTACTGAAACTTGTAAAAATTTGGGAACTAAGTAAGTTAGGTGGTTTTTTTTTTCAAAGCAATTGAGAGTTATTCTTGTTATGACTGCTTCCTGTTCCCGTGCTGAATTAAGCTGGCACAGGAGCAGTGTGGTTGGTAGGGCTCATTTCCTCACTTCCCCTCCTCCAATTTAATTTACAAGCTGCTGGACATTGTCCAGCAGGAAATCCAGTCTTATTGAGAAAACCATCAAAAGCTGCAGAAGATACTTGCTTTAAATTATAGTGTGGTTTCAAATGAGATCTAGAAATGTTTCCAGGAACCCAGACAAGAGTTGGTCCCTCCTCATGCCAGGCTTTGGTGAAGCTGAACCGCTTGGCACACCTTCCCAGAGCAGCCCACGGATGGGACCCCATGTGAGTGGCCGGGGAACCAACCTGCAGAAAACCTTGCAGAACCAGGTGAGCCCAGTCACCCCAACGTTTCCTGAGTCCATTTGCTTAGGTCCTGATTTGTGGGATTTTCTACATCTTGAGGTAGAGGCATGAGGTGCTGCCAGCCTGGTCCCATGCTGCAAGACCCCTGCCCGTGCCGTAGCATCAGTACTGCCACATCAAACCTTGGAGCAGTCTGAAACTGCAACAGAGATGCTGTGTGTCTGCAGACAGGCACAGAGAAAGGGTGAAATGTCCCTTCTTTGCCTGTTTCCTCTGAAGAGAAAAAGTGAACAAGAATTGAAATTCCTGGGAGGAAACAAAGTAACCCTACCTGGTGGACCATGGTTTTTTTATACAGGATAAATCATCTGACATATGCAGGGAAATCACACTGCAGTGCCTCTGCTGACTGTGCAGGAATATGATCTTGCAGGGCTATATATATATGGTGTCTGCTCCAAGACCTGTCAGATACTGGAAATGCAGACAGATATAGTGCTGTGGCTGCACTGACAGAGAGAAATCAGAGGTTCAACAGCTCCACGGATGACACTGCAATTAAAAGGGATAAAAATATTAAAAAAAAAAATGTTCAGAAGGTATCAGTTTACAGTGAGCTCAAGTCTCCAATTTGTAGAGAGTTGTTTGCTCTTAGAGATGATGGTATGCTGCTCCCAGCAAACCTATGTAAACATTTTTTACCAAGCCAGAATGTTTTTCCTAGAGCTACCTCATGCATACAGAAGCTCTTAGCTTCAGTTCAGAGGAATATTTTACTAGAGAATTCACATAAGGAAAATGAAGCTCCAGGACCTGATCCTATAAATCTCATCAGTCAAAGGAAAGCATGAAAGCATAAAAGTTAAGCTACTGTGGAGATGAAAGCCAGATACTACATAGTAGGTCAAAAGCCAGACAAGACACAAGGCCAGATACGGAAGAAACGAAGTCCAACTTCATAATCACGTTGGTGGCATTTTGTTTTGATTTTTCTTTTTTTTTTAATACCATATCTATAAAATGCACTCAGAGTACACCCTTTCCAGAAACTCAGAGATTTATGTGTTTCAGCCGCTACTGATCTAGTGTGACTGGAACATCGTGAAGTAAAAAATGTTCTGGGTAATCCAACTGAATGCAATTTGTATAGCAAAAAAAAAAATTAAAGCAGTGTTTTCATCTGAGCAAGTTTGCATAGCCAAGATTACTTGACCTGTTGTTAAGCTTTGTGCTTCAGTGCTTTGCTGGGAAACACTGTCAGCTTTTTAGACTGAAAGGCTGCAAGTCAGACTGGAAAGCTCCTAACCCTTCTCCGATTTCCGTGGGGAAGAGCAGAGCTGAGGAGACTTCAAGGTACAGGAATGCAAACACTTGGGACTGTGCACAGCTCAGAGGGCTGACAGCCTGCCTTGCAGGTCTCTGTGCTTGGCACACACTGGTCTGTGTGGCTCCATGCAGCACTGAGTACTTCAAGCCCCCCAGCAGTGTAACAACCAACCTGGGGAGAGCATGTTGAGCGATGCACCCGCTTTCTGCATTGAGGTTTGGGGCTCATGTTGCAAGGCAACACCAGCTTCTGGCTTTCAAAGACTGATGTTCTGCAGAAGCTACTCCTTGAGGAAAGGAGAAGGTCCCGAGTATCCCCAACCACTAGAAGGTTGGGAGGAATTGGCTTAAGGTAAGTGCTGGTGTGCAGTGACGGGAACCAAGCAGGGGAATAAAGCATGCTGCTTTGTAGTGATGCTGATCTTGCAGATGTATCTGCCAAAAACATCAGCTGTGCCTGGCCGGGTCTGCTCATGCCTGGCAGACGCGCATGCGTATGTCACAATAACCAGAAGGAAATGTTACTCAGCTGCGTTTTCCTGAGGGTCCGTGGCACAGAGGTATCCGTGCTGTCCCACAGAGAGAGGCTTCGATAGAGACAGCGAGGTACAGATGTGCTGTTGGGAGTTCACAAGGAGTTCTCACAGGCCAGTTGGACTTTATTTTCCAAGGTCTTACTGCACCCGGGGCACCTTTCCTATGTGGAGCAGGGGTTCAACAGGCTCATCCAACCTGTTGATGCCCCCAGTTCCCGAGGGTGGTAACTGGGCAGCATGCCAGGGAGGTGGCACATGCCAGGCTGTGATAGCTTTCCTGGGGTTGCTGCTGAGCAGGGAGGGTCAGAGACACAGGAAGTTGGGGATTTCATGGCTTGGCTTTAAGGTCTGTCGGAGTTAGTCACACCATAAGCCATGTTTATATCTTCATTAATTTGTCTTTTCTTCTTGTGTGAGAGAAAAGGTAGCATGAGGTTGCTTTTTACATTTAAAATTTCCTCTGTATCAAGTTATTGCTGTAAAGATATAAAAAAATTTACTGATACTCAAGACCCAATAGAGAAATCTTCAGTAAAGGGTGAAGGACCTGTCCTGTCAGCAAAGTATTTCTGTCAGCAAAGTATTTCTGTCTGCTTTTTAAGTGTTTCACCTCTGTTTATTTCTAGTTGGGGTTAGTTGGTGAGTGGAAAATCCCTGCAAGGAGCAGAAAGTGGAAAGTGAAAGCAGGGCATTACTGGACATTTTTGAAGGCTCATGTGATTAGGGCAGACTGGGAGCCCTGGATCTTGGCAGGGGAGCCAGCAGGGGTTAGCATCTGCCTATGGAGCGGGGAGAGAGTGAAGAGAGGGGAGGCAACAGTGGAGAAAAGCTGCCTGGAAATATCATCCCACCCCATTTGCTTACTTTCCATTTCCCCCACCCCCCTCAAATCCCACACTTCAGATCCACAAACTTCAAATTCTTCAGCCAGTGCTGGCAGCAGCACCATGGTGCTGTGCAGAGGGGAGAAAAAGAAACCTCCTGCTGGATCTTTTGAATCTCCTGTAGTGGGATTGATCTCCTGCAATGGTTGAGAAGATGAGTTTGGAGTATTTTCTAGGAACAGGCCTTTCCAGGAACAGGCTGTTACTGAGTACATAGAGCGACCGTGGTCTGAAGGCAGTGCTGGAACAAGCGACATCTGCAAAGGAGACTTCAGTCTTTCCTTGCTCTTTGTTCTGGCAGTCCAGGTACTGCAGACTTTATTGCGTGGACCTTTGCACTGTAAATAGCTCTGTGAGGCAGCTGCTCCCATAACCATTTCCTCTCCTGCTCCAAATACCCATGATGCCTGCCAAAGTCAGAGCCGGATACATGATCATTTCCAGTTTCTGTTTCATATTGCTTTCGAATTCTTCAGGCCGCTCAGAGCAGCTCTGCCACAGACCCTTGCAAGCTCCACGGCTGGCAGGGGTCAGCTCTCAGCTATGGGTATGTGATCCACGATACTTAATGTTGCAGGGATGGCAAAGTGGTGAAGAAAGTGTTGTCTGGGTCCAAAATGGGGAGATAAAATGGAGGCTGAAGCACAGCAGCAAGCAAAGAAAAATCCTCTGAATTGGAATTATTGGTGGCTACCTGTTTCAGCTTCTTCTCTTTGTAGGTGATGTGTCTCTAGGGTAGAGCGCAGAGCAGAGACTTTGCTGGTAAGTAATGATATCCCCCCCCTCTAAGGAATTTGACCTTGGCTGGCTGTCCGACACCGAGCTAGTTGCTCTCTCGCTCCCTATCCTCAGCATGACAGGAGAGAGAAAATAAGATGGAAAAGTTCATGAGTTGAGATAAAGACAGGAAGATCGCTCCCCATATTCCCAGGATCAACCTCACTCTTTCTTTCCTGACTTTTCTACCTCCCCCTGCCCCTCCCCCCACCGTCATACAGCAGGGAAGGGAAATGCATGTTGTCCTCGATAACTCAGTAAGAGTTGCCCTTTGCACCTCCATCATGCTCAGAAATTTCCCATGCTCCAGAATGGTTCATTTCCCATGGGCTGCGGTCCTTCAGGATAAGCCTGCTCTAGCAAGGGTCCCTCTCCGTGGACTGCAGCTTCCTTGAGGGCCTGTCCACACGCTGCAGCATGGGGTTCTCCATGGGCTGCAGTGTGGATATCTGTTCCACCATGGTCCTCCACAGGTTGCAGGGAGACAGCCTGCCTCACCATGGCCTTCTCTGAGGGCTACAAGGGAATCTCTGCTCCAGCACCTGGAGCACCTTCTCCTATCCTTCTTCACTGACCTGGGAGTCTACAGGGTTGTTTGTCTCACATTTTTCCTTACTTCTCACTGCTCAGCAGCTTTCTCAGAGGCACCACCAGCTTGGCTGCTGAGCTCAGCTGTGTCCTGCAGTGGATCTGTTGAGCTGGCTGTGTCTGGCATGGGGCACCCCAGGGCCTCTGCTCACAGGAGGCCACCCCTTCAGCCCCTCGCTGCCAGCATCTGAGCACCTGCACCTGGTACAGTACCTGTGATCAGCAGCTTTGTTTTCCTGAACACTGAAAGAGGGATGATGCTATCAGCACCTTCTGAAAGCATTCTGACTTCTGCAGCTGATCACACACTGCTCAGAAGTCAAATGTTACTCCTGTTAGCCAGGTGACATCACTGGCCTTCATGCAACAAGCTGAGTTTGTTGTGTCAAGTGTATTTTCTTACAATGTGTATTTTAGAAAGATGTATTTTAGAGAAAAACAGTGACACAGGTCCAAGACACAAAGGTCAGGGTTGTTTCTGTTGTGTTTATCATGCCACATCAATCTATAAACAGCAGTTCCTTGGTTCTGGGGCAAACCTGCACTTCCCAGCTGGAGGGGGTCTCCTTTTCAAAGTAGTGATTAGATTTCTGATCAGACCAGTGATATTGCATACTTTGGCAGCTTTGGAAGAGACCCCTACTTTAATCTGGATTTCTCTTCCAATGTAGGGCAGAGCAAACAGCCAAGCACTGATCAGCTCTTCTGCACCTGTGTTTTCTCTGGATTCATTCATTTGCTCCTGAAATGGAGTACGCCTGGTATTGGCTCGATGATTCCGAGGAGTGGATTGAGTATGGGAAAGAGGTGAGATCTGTCTGCTGCTGATGCCAAAAATCTTTTAACCATCTTTGGACAGTTATGTAGGGCACGTTGTTCTGCAGCTGGTGTGTTCTACACGCACCGCTGGGTGCCCTTGCAGTGCTGCTCCGATGCTCGGGTGGAATTGTCTTATTAATTGTCCCTCAAAGCAGGACTGGAACTCTGTGAAAGCTTTCAAAGGGCTGGCTTTGAAAGCGTGTGCATTTTCCTGAGCTGACAGACATCTTTTGGCTGAAGCTGACCACACAGGCTGAAGGCTGCTTTGTTGCTGTTGTTACAAGCAGCTGTTCTCCGTGGGGTACCTCTCTGTCGCTGCAGAACAAAATGCTTTAAGCCTTAGAGACCTACTTCAGAGCAGCATCACATGATAGGGGCCTGGGGAAACACCGGTACTTCCCCTCAGTGACTCCTAAACCAAAGGGTGGTTTCTAACAGGTATAATTTCGATATTCTTTCTACAGCATCCAGATCACTGCACTGCCAGCATAACATCTGAATTTCTGGAGAATGAATACCAAGCTGACAAGAAAGCTGTAATTGTTTTCTCGGCAGGTTCTCAGCAGTATAAGATAAACTTTGCAGGTGAAGTATATCCTTGTTTTAAGTCTGTTACACAGTGCAGCTGGCTCGAAGGTATCTTCTTCCATGCAGAGCTTTTATCCTGTGTCTGCATCTCTTTGATCAAGTCTTTTTCCTACTGCAAATTTTCTCCAGTGCTACAGAGCTTGATCAGTATGTACATTTCTCCGCAGTTCTGAGATGCCCTGCTCAAGCTTCTACACTTGGGCATCTGTAGTCAAAAAAGTATCTTTGGCAATATTATATATTCAGAAGAAGAGTCAAGAGTAAATACTTCATGGCACCTGGCTTGTCCTTTTGGGTTTATACAACTAAAGAGAAAGAATGAGAAACCAGAAAAAAAAACCCAAAAAACAACTTAAAAGTCAAATGGTGAAGAAGTGAGACCATAGTGGACATCTTGCAAGCTAATTATGGGGAGAGAAAGCACAGAGTGCAGCTAAGGAAAATTTAGGGCTGGTTGCACAGAGAGAGAAATGGGAAAATGAGAAATACTTTTCTGTTTCTAATTTATTTACCCCTCTTAAAACTCCTGTTAGCTTTCCAAACTTTAAATCTGTTTCCTGGCATGAATCAAGAGTGGTATTTAAAGGAGGAAACAATGGATAATTAGCTGTGTCACTCAGCGTGGGCTCTGTGATATTGTTATAGGACCAAGAAGAGAGGGCAGACTTTCCTCTTAGCACCACATAACAACCCCATGCTGCCAGGAAAGCCAGGTTTATGGCCCCCATTGTATTGAAAACTCTTCCCTGCTGCTGGCCTGCCATCACACCTGTTTTTCTCTCACTGGCAACCTGGATGCAAATACATATGTGGGTGCAGTTGGTGACTGGTTGCCTTTGAGTTTCACAACCTGTGCTTGCTGATCTCCAAGTAGGAGCAGTGCAAGTGGGAATGGTTATGAAGTTTGGACTGGGGTGGGTGGGATAGAGAGAGCACCATAATGCAATATTCAAGGCTACCTTCTCTTTTATGTTTATTTAACATGTAAGAGTGTGGACAATGAATTATCTAATCTTTGAGTTATTGTGGTTTTCTTTGAAGACATGGTCCAAACAAATTTGGTCTTTAGAACACGAAGAAATGTTATTCGACTGCCGAAACATCTGTTATCTGAAGGTGGACAAGACAGAAGGTAATATAAACTCATTATTTAACAATGTCTCTAGAGGGCAGAACCTTATTGCTAAGAAGTTCCTCCTACCTGTCTAAAATGCAATTTTAGATTTCTTAAATTCATTTTTAGATGACTCGTTGAATGGTAAATTTTGTGGCAACAATATTTGTAAATTATGCAACACTTCTGTGAAGCACTCTGGAGGGATGTTTGGTGGCAGTGTCTGGCAGCTGTGAGAGACCACTAGAGTAGATTTGTTCTCTCTGTGAGAGGCAAGGCCACACAAGGCTGGCGCGACTGTGCCAGGAATTTTTATTCCTGGATTTATGCCTCAATGCTAATAAATAAATTGTGCAAAGATTAGGAGCAAGGGACTGCCAATACCAAGAGCTGTGGAGCGTATGGATGCCATCGCCTGGAAAGCTGAAGATAAATTAAAACACAAATTCAGGCAAATCCTCCTAAATTAAGTGAACTAGAGGCACTTACTTGAGATGCCTATCTCATGGCTTTTTTTGAAGGAAGTTCAGCTTAAAAGAATTGGAGCACATCTGCTGTAAATGTTAGTTGTGCTACTGATTTATTTTAAAAAGAGCTGTCTTTGCTTCAGAAACTCACCAATAGACAGTGCATGTGAAACAGAGGACTCCATTTAAGGGCTGGTTCAACCAAAGGGGGGTTAACTCAAAAAAAATACCAAACCAAACTGTAGGTCCTGAATGGATGCTGATGCTCTTATTGCCTGGGTTAAAGCCTGCGTGCCAGGACGGCACAGTGCTGGAAGTTGTTGAGCACCGACTGATGCAGCAGTGCCTGTAGGGCATAGCTGTGCATCCACAGGCTCCTGGCTGTCTTGGTCCTGGAGATGGGTACCACTGGCCACCCACCTGGCCAGTGAATCAGAGAAGAGCAGCCACATGGAGGGAGAGGGCTCATGCTCCGGTTTCCGTGAGGTGTTCAGGTGGCACACTCCAGGGTATCTGGAGCAGTTGGATAAACCATCCAGCTAGGAATGTGTTACTTCTCATTTGAAGCCCTCCTACCGGTGTCTTGACCTACCAAGGGATGCATTAGTGCCTCTAGGATGTATGTGGAAATCCAAACTGGGGAATGAGGATAATGGTAATGAGAAAAGTAATGCAAAAATAAAAATCCAGGGATACGTGAAGGATGCTGTAGAGCCCGTGGTTGGATTCTTCAGAAGGGGGTTTTGGATAAAAGTATAATCAGCTGATTTGCTCCTGTTTCTTTTCTGCAGCCAAAACACGACTCTATCTCCTTCTACCTATCCTCCACAATGGGACCAGTCTGCACTACCTGAAACTGGGTTCAAGGTAGGTCTTCCCAGGTCTCCAGTGGGTAGGATGAACTGTGTCCTGTACTGATTTTCCTGAGAACGTGAGTCAAGGCAGTTCAGATGTTCCTAGCTTTTAAATATGTCTCATAAAAATAAGCAACTATGATGTGAAACAAGACTGACAGTTTCTCATTCAGAATAGACTTGTGTTTCCTTGGAAGCTCTCTGAGAAACTCCTATAGTACCATGCAGGATAAAGGCTCTTTTGGTCATTTCTAGTCTGACCTGTCCTTTCCAGTCTCCCAAGGCACCTCATCCTCTGATAAACTGGAAGAATTGTATCTTGAGGGGGTATTGTAGTATTTCCCCTGTTGATTTGAGGCAAAATGTTATTTGCTGTGGTAAAACTACACCTTAGCCCTGTAGGGAAGGAACCAGGGTGCCAGAGTTTAGGTGAAACTTTCCACTCTTCTGCAGCCTGAATACTGCTGTGCACTTCAACTTCAGGTTACTCTGAACTCAAAATAACCTCTGGATGCAGAGGTGTGTCCACTGAAGGCAGTTCACATGGGATTGCACTGATTTCCCTTGATCAGTGCCTGTGCTTCCACATGAGGAGAGGGTGGGTAATGGAAAAAACAGAAGGAGCTTGTGATTTTTATGTAGATGCGAGGAGGTTGATAAGTCCTTTGGAAGGACTGGGACTTATTACTGTCAGTAATACCCTATTTTTGGTGTTTTTAAAATTTTCAGTTGATTCAGCTCAGCTGTGATTCCCAGGAATATGAAAAAATCAAGAGGCTGTTTGAAAAGACGATGAGACATTACTGCATCAATCAAATTCAGAGGATCCAGAATCCAACACTTTGGGAGTTTTTTCAGTTGTTTGTATTTATTTTTTTTTTTATTTCCCTTATGGTGTCAGAAAACTGACATTTCCTGATCTATTGTCCTCCGTAGCCTACCTTAGGAGTTGCCAAATCCAGCAGCCCGGCAGAGGTGAGGCTGCCATGTGCCTGTGTGCCCAGGTCTGGTTTGCAGCGAGGTTCAGCACATGCTCACAGTAGGTGCCTGTGCATACACCGAAAACAGATGAATACACACACAGAAATCACCCCAGACAGAACAGCACTCATGCAGTCATAAACAGCACCAATGGCCTCACTGCATTCCCTTCCTCTGGTTGAATGGAAATGAGTGTCAAAATGAATGTCAGTATAAAAGCCTGTTTAATGGAACACATGTACATTGATGGATCCCTCTAGGAGCTGGTCTTAGATACTCAGCCTACCCATCTGCTGGCCCCTGAGTCTTCTCATCTCCAGTTATGTTTTGCATAGACACATACAGATGCAAATGGGTCTCGGTAGATTTCATGGTGTCTTCAACGATTGGCCTGGACCTCCCAGTCCCACTCATAAGCAAGCTCAGGCCTTCTGGTCTCTTCAGTATCTGGCCTAGACTTATGCCTGCCTCCAAAACTCCTGGGCTAGCTCCCCTCTTTACTGGCTGTCCAGCCTTACACTGGTTGGTGATCACACACTGGCACACATGCCCTCGTGTGCTGCAGTTGTGGGGCTGTGGATGTATGGCTCCTGTGACCCAAGGTCCTATTCCAGTTGCTGCACCCAGACCCCCACACACAGGCTCCACACACAGGCTGGAGACTCCATCACCAAGGAAAGAGTTAGAAATTGGAGTTTAATGAGAAGATAGGGCAGACTGTACTGATTAGGCACTGGATATGGCCAGATCAGCCTACTAACCAGGTGGTGGCCCGTTTTTATCCAACCAGCACTTTTTACCCCCTTATCCGTCTATTTCCCTGTTTGTGTTTCTCAGGCCATCCTGATCTTACCCTTCTCCCACCTACAGTTCCTCTGTTAAAAAATCGCATTGTAAGTCCTGTGCAATCCCCAAAGGCACTTCCCCTCTCTCCCATAACAAGTCCCCTAGTCTCATGGGCAGTACCTGCTTTATGTCTGTGAGCTGCTCTGGACCTTTTCCATTGTTCAAAGTGCCAGGTGTCCCCCTGGTCCCTGGGGCTGAGGCTCCCCTGGGACAGCCCTGGAAGGAGACTGGGGCTCCTCTCTGTAATTGGGTTATTGGGGTTGCCTCTGTGTTCTTTTGTGTGTGTAGAAATGAGCCTTTTATCACATAACCTAACGGGGGGAAGGGGTGTGGTGTGGTGTGATTCTTGCTAGTGTTATTCAAAAACTAAATTCTTTTCCTTCATCATAACTGAGCTCTGGTATTTTAAGTTTATTCCTTTGGTTTTAGTTTCTTTCACATAGGAGTTTAAAAAAAAAGGGGGTGGGGACTTTTTTTGTGATAAAGATGGGGCAGAGATTATACAATCTTCACTGTGGGTTCATACAGCTCAGTTTTATAATCATATTTATGCATTCAGGATTTATATAACATGGGAATTGACCAATTTCCCGTCAAGAGATGTTTGTCTCTTTACTCTCTCATGTGGTATGAAGTTGTGGGTGACACAGTCCATAGTGATGCTGAGAACTTTTTGTTTTGCTGGCACGAGCCAGCTGTGCAGCAGGGTACCAGCAGAAGTGCAAAGCAGGCAGTAACCCCACTGAGAGTGGTTTGTGTCACTGTTCCTCCATGACCCAAAAGTAGGAGGAGTTGAGTTGGGAAGTTGTCCTCATTTGAACCTGGATAACAAATCATTCTTCTTTTTTTTTTTTTTTTTGGTCTCTAGGCAAAAAGAGAAGATGAAGAAGGTCAATAAATCAGAAAGTGTGGATGAGCGGCTCCTGTTCCATGGGACAAATCCATCCCATGTATCTGCCATCTGTGAGCAGAACTTTGACTGGAGGCTCTGTGGGACTCATGGGACAATGTATGGAAAAGGTACAAGTGTAGAAATGTGGGTGTAGGAGCCAAAGCAGCATGGGCTGGAGACCCTGGTCAGGCTGGTCTGTGGGTGTGATGTGGCTGACTGTCCCTGACCCCTACACTCCTGCTATTATGCTATTCTTCCCTGCCTACATTTGCATTGTTGCAGACAGCATCCACAGCAATCCCATTCCAGGAGGGACGAAAAACACCTCTCTTTGCTTCAGATACCTGCTGTTCAGCAAAGCTCTTGGACAGATGGGACTGGGAGGTTGATGGTGAAATGTGACTAGAGTTTGTTGATGCTTTAAAATAAGCCAATGTGTGTTGCCATCCTGGCAAGAATGTGTATAGGGCTACCTGGAGCTGTTGAATTGCTGGCTGCCCAAGTGCTGATCACAGATGTTTGGTGCTCAGCTGGTGTATTGTCTTACCTGTGGCTTTTTCTGGTTCCTAGGAAGCTACTTTGCCCGAGATGCCGACTATTCTCACGAGTACTGTTCTGCTCGCGGTGGTCGCTACACCATGTTTGTAGCTCAAGTTCTTGTTGGAGACTTTGTTCAGGGAAACTCTGAATACTGTCGCCCTCCAGCCCGAGCCAGCAATTCAAACAGACTTTATGACAGCTGTGTGGATGACCCAACAGACCCTTCCATCTTTGTCATCTTTGAGAAGCAACAAATTTACCCTGCCTATATCTTGGAGTACAGCTTCGAGGCCCGTTGTGTGGTCCTGTAATGAATGGTGAAAACTCCTTTGAATTCACACTGAATAAATTACTCCTTAGTTAATTTTTTTTTAATCTTTGTTCAACTTTAGTAGTAGCTTTGGAACACTTCATAATGTGATTAACAAATATCATTCCCCTAATGGTTTTGGGGTATAGTTTTTTTGGTAGAGGCTATTCTTTTTCCAGCAGAAAGCGCTAAACTTCAGCATTCATTCTAACCTGGAACAGGGATGAGCTTGCCTTGCATACCCTGATACAGTGACACCTACTGCTTCTGAAAGCAGCAGCACCGAGTGTACAATTAACTGATACAACCACTTAGGGTTGATTCCTGCCTGTGCTGGTACTGATGCGCCAAAGGGAGACTGGGCAAGGAATGTGGAAGAAGGAAAGGTGAAAGTACCTACATCATGGTGCACAAGAGAGGAATCATGGCCCCTCTTTTCAGCAAATGGTAGGAAGCTCCTGCATCCTGGGGACTTTGCAATTACTGCTGGCAAAGGACTTTGCTTTGTTTCCCGGTCTCACTGCTGACATCTCTTCTCACCTTGTTCTGCTATGTCAAGTTTGACTGCCTCTGTGACACCCTGTCCTTCCTCTGTCACCACTGGGTCTACGTCAAGAAAAGCAGGCATATTGCAGCTGCTGAAGTTGAATCCCCCACCACGCCATGACACCAACAGTGAGGAAGTCTGTGGTGAGCTCAATAATGGCACATAGCAGTGTCCCACCAGGGCTGCAGAGCCACTGCCTGCAGCAGTGAGCAGTGAGACAAAGGGGCTGCGTGAGGGTGGCCACTGGCACGGCCACCTCCTTTCCACCCTGCAGGCTGGAGCTGGTGGTGGCTATTTTGTGTTGCCCTGCTGCTGCCTGGCACTCCTCCCAGTGATTGAGAAGTTTCCCAGTGGTGTGTGCTTCGACTGGGATGGATGTGGGGAAGCTTGGATGGTGGTCATAGTACTTGAAACTTGGTGGATGGTGGGATAACATTTAGCATGACCCATATAATGGAAACAAAAATTTATGGTTTATTTTAAAACAGTCTTGATGTCGTAATTCAGCAAAGGAGTCACAAGTGGTTCGGCTGTGCATGCCATAGGTGGAAAGAACCAAGAGGAGGGATGGCTGTAGGATCTCATCAGCTTTCCTAAAGCCTGTTACTTTCAGACACAATCAGTGCCCTTAGGAAAATGTCGTAAGGACAGCTGACTTCAGTGAGTCCCTGGGCTGCCCTAATTCATGAACTTCCATGTCCCACTGTTTTTGCAGGAGCCTAAAGGTTGTTCTGTTACAAATTAATGATGTAATCTTGTCAGACACAGGTGAGCAGAGAACTTTCCATGCAGTCAGGAAGTAAAAATGGAAGTCACTTAAATGGACTTTTTCCTGGATGTAAGATATTTTTTATTAAAAAAAAAAAGAAAAGTACATACCAGCTGCCGCACACCTTTCTCAATAAAGTGGTGTACTTTTAGCAAACAGTTTGTTGCTCTCTGTACTATCAATACAACAGCATTGGAAAACTGCCGTGATTTTGTAGAGCTGCTTGCCGTGGATTTGTCAGTTGTCCTAGGTCTGCATCCTGTGCCTTGCATGAACATGAATCTGAGCATTATTTGTACAAACAATAACAGAAAGTCTGTTTTAATGTGATAGTTTTATAACTAGCTGGGATTACATAGAGATCTTCTTTGTTTTACAGATTTGCTGCCTGGCTGTGGCACCCAATTATCCCAAGGATGGGAAGGGACTGAATAATGACCATTTTCAGCTATTACCTTACTTTGATCCTTGCAACATTGCACAAATTTTCTCCATGGCTTCATCAGCTTATGGGCGGTTGCATGCACAGCCTTTGGACAGGACAAGGGCATGGAGATGGAGGGTTTGGGAAGAGTTTTGGTATTAGAGAATTATGAGAGTTATTAGAGAAAATGCTCTGTGGATTGATGCCTTTGTACAGACCATCTCCTCCCATTCTTCTCCTCCACGGCAGAAGAAACCATCCATCATGTGGGAAAAAGTTGCTTCCAGCAAGGTGGGAGTATGATTGCCAAACTCATCAGGGGCAGGAGAAAGTAAGGGAGAGCCTGCTGAGGAGCAGGCCAGCCACTGAAAAAAGGGGTGGGGGTGTAGATCTGAAAAAGAAGAAACCGGGAAGAGAGTAGAGAACACGTGCAAACACGCACAGTTGGGAAGAAAATGAGATTTTCCAGTAAGTCAAAACTATTTCTGACTGCAGTAAGTTTCTTGCAGCCTCCAGCTGCCTCCAGAATTAGGTGCTGGGTGTTATATTGAGAAGGTCAGACAGGTTCTGGTGTGAGCAGCTGTAACAGTGTGCTGGTGTGGGACTGCTATGGGCTCTGCAGGTGCTGGAGTACCGGATCTGACATGGAAGCTGTCCTTGAGGAGCCCGTGCTCTTTCACAGTCACTCACTGCAACACTCCCTTTGTGTCTCCCAAAGGAGCAGTCCTGCCTCCAGTGACAGGGAGAGTGGCTGGGGAGGAGCAGATGCAGGGCATTCACCTGCTTGAAAACTGACCTAGTTAAAACCCGCTCAAAATACAAACACAAAATACGGTGTTTGACATGAGCAGTTTCCAGTGCTGCTTGTGCAAACACCAATAAGGAGGCGAGGCAGATTGCAGTGTGAATTTTGACTGGAATAAGATGAAATTGAACCTCTAGCCCAAGAAGATTTGGGAATCTGAAGCTAAAAGATTTGGGAATATTTCAGTTAGTGGGGCACTGAGAGCAGAAACTGCTAGTAAAAGTGAAAAGCAACTTAATCTATGAATACTTCTTCAAGAGAGTTTTGTTCTGTATTGCAAATTTGCTAAAACTTCTTCCCAACTTGAACCTCCTGCTACCTCTGGAGTGCCTGGGTGCCTTTGAAGTACTGAGCAGAAAGCATTCCTCAGCAGCCTTTTAAATGAGAAATGCTTGCAAACCATCATCAGCATATGGAATAGTTGGAAGGCACTAGGTATGGATCTGTGGACTTTTCATTCATTATTTTTTCCCCTGAAAAATATTGGAGATCTCTCTTCCCTTTGTTGAGAACGGGTTAACTCACTGACAGAGTCACCAAGATGCTGACAGGAAAAAGTCTGGCCTGAGGAATTCCGTGAGTAGCCAAACTGATTTCTGTGGGGTTTGCTGCTTCCCCTGTGAGCCAGACTGGCACTGGATGGGCAGGTGCTGGCGTGGGTTTGTCCTGCAGCAGCAGACTCTCTTTGTGATCTCTTGGAGAGGCAGCTGTGGGCACCAGCAGCTTTTCCAGAAATTTCACTAGGACTTGCTTTTCAGGAACCAGCAACAATTCAGAAGGATCAATTGCTTTTTGTACCCGTATAAATAATGCATTTCTTCTGTGTTCTCAGATGTGTACTGTCTTTGTCTCTGCCTGCAAAGCTGTTAGCTGAAGTGATCTTTTCATCATAATGTATTTCTAATTGATTTTCTTCTGGTGCTCTTAGGGCTTCACAGCATCCTTAGGTTTAACATTGGTTACATATTCATGCAAGTGTGCTAGGCTTTCTATTAAGTAACACCTCGGCAAGTTTTCAGGCTTTCTTTTAATTTACTTGTGCCTAGTTTGACTTTTCAGCATTTGTAAGAAACCTTTTTAACAATTTTGAGAGAATTTATTACAGGATGGCTAAACTGCAGAAACCCAACGCTTGATTGAACATGTTGAATGAGACGTTATTTTCCAAAACACTTAAACTTTTAAAAATCAACCTGAGCCCTATAACATGGCACAACCACTGTATGGGTGCCAGGTGAAGAAAACACACATATTGTTCTTGGCATGGCATGCTCAACAATTGCATTATTTAACAAGGCTGTTTCTAGTTCGAGGGAATAATTATCCCGAACCACTGTGTAGCTGTGGTAATGATGGGGGCTGAGGGTTTGGGGAAGGGCAGGGGTCTTTAAGGGCCTGTAGGAGACAGATCTGTAGAAATCAGACTCTTATGTCTCAGGGAACAACTTTTTCTATTTTTTCCTGTTCTCTAGTAGTCCTGCTTCTTTTGATGAAGCCTGTTGTCTGGTATGTTGAGTGCTAGGCGTTATTACCCAGAGCAACTCAAACTGTCTTTACAGAGTTACTCTTACATCTAGCTTACAAATGGGAGCAATAGGGAAGGCTGACCTGGTTCTTATCCATCTGTTCTTAATAAGCTCAGATTTTCCTTCCAGATGGTTTGCAGCAATGTCAGAGGGCCCATTAATTGGTGTGCCAGTGCTCAACTTATAAATACTTGGGAAGTATCTACACATGATATCCCCACCATTGGAGGAAGCTCTGTCTTTACCCATCCCCAAAGAGAAGCTTTATTTCAGTGTGGGTCCTCTCAATAATTTTTCTTTGTCTGTATCTTCAGCTTTGGTCTCCTTAACTAATTTTTTTTTTCAACACGGTTTTCTCTTTACTAAGTCCAAAGGAGATATTGGAAGTCCCACTGGTCTCTGCTTTAACACTTTGCTTTCACTCTTGTTTCTTGCAGGCTTTTTCTGACTGCATTTTGCAGATAGCCCCTTGCACCTTCCAGTTGTTTTTCTTTTGAAAATTCTTGTAAGTTTATGGTAGTTTTTACTATGCTCTGCAGTTTCATCTCAATCTGTGGTTCATTCTTCTGTCCTGAAGGCCAACTGACCTTTATTTTGCCTCTCAGGTCAAGTAGGTTCTTCTAAGAGTATTTTTCCATATTCTTTTTCCTCTTTTATCCTTATACAATCTGACCTCATTTTAGCAGTTACACAACCTCTGCCTTCACATAACTTATTTGACTGAATGTCCTCACATCTATCATAATGCCTTTTCAAAAAAACCCTCCCTTTTTGTTTTGCTTTATGGTGTTTGTTGGTTTCGTTTGGCTTCTTTGGTTTTTTTTTCTTTTCACTGAGCAAATCAAATTCTTTACTAAGAGAATTCCCTCTCTACATTTCTTTAGTCAGAGATGGGATTAGTTTCACTGCATGAAACTGTAGGCTGCTAACTAAACCTAAACTTTTTGACAGTGCTACCAAAAATGCATTTCTCCCATCAGGGCCTCCTCCAGCTGCTGCTATTTCTGTACAGTCTGAGTAACTCCATGCTGTGTCCCGCTCACCGGATTTTCTTTTCTTTCCCAGATTGACTTTTGGATTGGTTTTCTTTTCCCCTCCTCCTCAACTTTTAGCTCTACTTGCTCCAGTTAACATGTGGCACCTAGGCAGTTTCTTGAGCTGGCACATGATTAATAAGACTCGTAAGTAATGCAAGAGCTTCGTTACATATCTTGGAAGACAATTTGCAGGACTCCTGTCTATCTAAATGCTATTAACTGATGTAAAAATTAACATAACCCTCTAAAACCTGTGAATTCAAGATCATTGTGGAACTTGTTTTCCAAGGGAAGCAGCTCCTTGCAGTGAGTAGTACAAGGGACATGGACTTGGTAGCCAAGCGATCTAGTTCCACATCTGCAGAGGTTTTGTTGGGGAACCCAGGCAAATTCAGAAGTGTTGACTTCTACAGGTGAAAAATAGATAGCAGCCAAATAATACTATTGTTATCTAACCAGGGTTTGTGTGCTGTGCTCAGTGCATATTCCTTGGGCTGGCACACTCAGAGGGCAGAAAATTCCATGCCTGGGTCTGAGCACAGGCAAAAAGAAAATCCAAACCTTTTAGGACTTGTTTTCTTCCCTGAGGATTTGGAAACCAGACTACTTTCTCGGCTGTGAAATAATGACAACAGTCCAGGAATTCCTGCACAGTTTGGGCTTCCTTGTCAAGACTACTGTTAAGCAACCTGTAAGAAGCTGGTAATCTTTTTCTTCTTCCTCCCTTTCCATGTGCTGGCCTCCCCGTTGAGGTGCTCTTTATTTTGCTCCTTGCATGCCTCTTGCCTTGCCTCAGTGTCTCACTAGGGTTCATGTGTATTCATGATGTATTCAGCAGCCTCTTATAATTTTATTTGTATCACTCAGGACCGGAAGAGGTTGAGATCTGAATGTTGTTTATTTTTTTGACCAAACCAGAACCTTTCAAAATTGCTTTAATTTTTTTTTTTTTTTAATGCTGTGTATGCATCTGTGAGGAGAGTACTCTTTTCTTTTTGAAATCCCAACAACTTACAGCAGAGGACAGTACCAGGAAGCTATCCCACATGCTGAGCAGGACCATTTTGAGAGCTGTGGTGATGTTCTCCAATCCTACGTGGAAGGGCTGAGGAGAAGGCAGCAAGCACCACAGACTGCAGAGGTGGATGGGACTCTGGGAATACACCACCCTACTGGTCCTCAACCATGCATGCTCTGATGAGGGGGCAGCAGTGTCCAGCAAACAGCTTCTGGTGGGAGGTGGGGTTCAGCTGGGGTGCACTGGGAACCTCTAAGTCATAGGCAATTACCTCTCATTAGAAGATAAAATGCTGTTCTGCAGGCCCTTTAAGCCAAAACTTTTTTTTTTTCTGATGAATAATTCATCTTTTTTCTAGTCTCCAAACCACTGTGCTGCTCCTTTAACCTCTACACAGGCAGAGAAGACAATTCAGGCTGACCAGAAAGGCAGTCTCCATTTCAAGCAGGTTCCTGGCAGTATCAGATCAACGTCAAAGGTGAAATATCCATTTGCTCGATGTCTAATGCAGGTGGGATGTGACTGGCACTGCAGCGCAGCATGTCCTGGGAGAGGGCTTGCAGGCAGGGGCACAGGAGAGGTGAGAAGCACTTCGTGGATTTTTAACAGTCTGTGCTACAGCAGCATGGAGGAGAGGGTGGAAAGTAGGGGATTCTCCACTGGGCAGGCTCAAGGACAAGAGCAGGTGTTGGTGCAAGGAAAGATACAGCACAAGCAGAGGCAGTGGTAAAGGGTGGGAGCTGAGGGTGGATTTGGGAGACCCCTGAGCATGGCTTCGGGACTCAGACTGTACCACATCTCTTAGGACATCTCCAAGAAAGAAAAGTCCTTTTTGAGACAGGGCAAAACCAGGTGAAGATCTGTTCTTCATCTGTCAGCCAGGTCTTCAGGTGTGTGTTCAGAGTCACTGCGATAGACGCTGAAAATGGAAATGGCACAGGATAGAAGGGAGAAACAAACTAAGGGTACCCCAAAGAGAGGACGACCCGAACTTCCCCGCGTTGCTGGTGGTGCCGGCGGAGGAGTCCCGGACGCGCTGCCAGGCAGCCCGGTCCCTGTCCCTAGGTGGCGGTGCCAGCCCGGCGCCGGGAGCTTGCGGGAGCCCGGGAAGAGCCGGTCCTGCTCCGGACCCGTCGGGCTGGGGCACGGCGAGGGGATGGTGGGAGAGCTGCGGGGGTCGCGGTGCGTGTGGGGCAGAGCGGGAGCGGGGGGGCACCGCACACTCCCAGCGCTGACCGTCAGCAGCCGCAGGACCTGCTGGGTCCTGTTCCTCACGGGTGGCTGCACCACAGCCCGGTCAGCGCTCCCTCCCCAAAAAGTCACGGTTTAATCGAGACTGCTGAGCACTACGTGCGGATTAGTGCAGGGTGGGACGCACCGCAGGCAGAACCGGAGGAGGATGTAAGAGGCAGAGCCAGCCGAAGGGTTGCTTTTGGGACTGCCAGAAACTCATCTGCCTCATTCACTGCCCCTGCTTATCATTCTGCACTATCTGTCCATCACCGACAGGATGGAAAGCTGCCGGTATCAGCTGGATGGGCACATGTGGATGGTTCAATATGGGAAGCAGGTGAGCACCTCCCTTCTCATGCCAGCACCCCACGCCAGTCACTCCCTTCCCATTCTTCTTACCCCAAAGTGTAGGAAAGACTGTAGCATACCAGGACAAGAGGTACAGGAGAGCCCATACTCATCACTGGATGACAGAGGTGCCCAAACAAAATTATAAGCTCAAGGCAGACTTGTAGCAATACTTTCCCAAAATGTTCTTCCTGCCTCCAGTATTTTTTGGCTTGGGAATCTCCTGCATCAGAGTTGGTATCTATATATGTAGTAATCCTGGATGCACTCTTCTTTCAGTAATTATTCCATTACTTTTTAAATATATGTAAACTTTTAGCTTCCACAATACCTTGTGGCAAATATTCTTGCAGTTAAATGGGATATTTTTTGGTTCAGGCTCTCCTTTGACTTACTTTGAACTCAGCACTTGTTAGCTTTGTTGAATAAAAGGGATGCAGGTATTCTCCCAGTGTTTTCTTCATCATCTCGCACATTTTTGTCATTTTTTGCTGATCTTCCTCAATGCTACCAGGGAACTCAGCTCTGGAAAGAGGCTTCCTTTACAGGTGGCTTGGGAATTTGTTGAAAAATCATTTTAATTTGACAGTTTTGTGTATGTGAGAAGAGCTCACTTTCTGCAAATTTCTACTAAAAAACAAATTCCAGAAAACCACCTGCTTTTCCCACCAAAGCCCCTGGGAGCCATCTCTGTCTATAAGCTCACCTGGAAATAATTCCAGAACCTGAAATCACAGCTCCTTCTTTTGGGGAGCCTCTATTCTACCCTTTGAGGGCAGTCAGAGGAGAGTGAAGGGCTTTTGGAAGCAAAGAGGGTGACACAGTGCAAGGATGGTGAAGGGAGGTGACAGTGCTCAGACTGCACTGCAGCCACCAGCAGTCCTTGGTGGGGGACACAGAGAGAAGAGGTGGACATGAGAGAGCCCTTCCAATCCGCTGTGGTGCGGGGACTGGCAAAGGGCATGTAGTGATAGGACAGGACGTGATGGCTTTGAACTGAAAGAGGATACATTTAAATTAGGTATTAGGAAGAAATTCTTTAATGGTGAGGGTGGTGAGGCACTGGAACAGGTTGCCCAGAGAAACTGTGGATGCCTCATGCCTGTAGGTGTTCGAGGCCCTATTGAACAGGGCTTTGAGCAGTCTGGTCTACTTGAAGGTGTCCCTGCCCATGGGAGGTTGTTGAAATTAGATGATCTTTAAGGTCCCTCCAACCCAAAACATTCTGTGATTTCATGATTCCATGAAAGAAAGCAGAGAGACCCTGATGTTGCTCAGAGATGAGTCCATGACCTGACTGGTTTAAATCACTGTCTTTTCCACATAACTTGTATAGATGCTAAATCCAACCTGTCTGTGACACCCCTGTGGCCCAAAGCCAATTGCTAACAAATATTTCTTTCCCTTGTCCAGAACAAGGTGCTATGCCTATAACTTCTGCAGCTGTGGAGCCATGGTTTCAGATTCATCTGTTCTCTTTGGAATTTCAAGTTGGTTCACAGAAACATGAGAGAGATTTCAAAGGTAAAAAAAAAAATCTATGTGTTTACCTCTTGACATACTTAGAGGGGAGCTAACTGTCACACAGCTTCTTTTGCAGAATGCCATTGAAAATCCTTTTCTGCTTGAATGTGAAAGCAGTGAGGGAATATTTCATGGGGTACAAGCAGCCTGTCAGCACAGGAATAAGGGGAAGGAAGTAAAACATAAAATGTAAGTATTTTTTGCAAACTAATCAGAACTGGTGGCTCTGATGTGAACAGAGACTTTTTAAAGTAGTGTCTGTGTCTCCTTGATATTACAGCATGCTGAGCTAAGGTTGTAAATATGGGAACCTTCCTTCTGTATTTATAATTAGGAAATCAAGGGCTCAAATTAGGATAAAAATATGTTGAAGGGAATGGTAGTGGAAGGGAATGTTAAGTCATCCTAGATATGATGTCCCTCTTGTGCACACACAGCGTAGGTGATTGTTATGTACATTGTAATTTGACTTTTTATATGTATTTGGTTTACCCTGGCACACAGTGAGCATTACATGCTGGTATCTCTGCTTTTCCTTGGCTGTGACTGTGCCATGCAGCTAAGCCTTTTCCAAGCAGAAAAAAACCCAAACAAGACCCAAAAACAACAACACCCCCACACCCCCTTCCCAGACTGCTGTGACTATTGCCTTGGGGGAGAGGAACAGAGAGGCAAAAAAGTTAGGGGCATAATAGCTTAAGCCGACTGTGGACTGCATTTCAGTTTCTATGGTATGTATACATCTTGTGCAGAGCTTAAAAAGAAATTGTGTGCAGTGATGGTTGCTCATGATATATCATACTTGAAGGAGGCTATAAGCTGTGGAAGGCAGCCTTGATTAAAATATTAAAAAGTGTTTATATCATGCCTAGAGGAGGTAGTGTGCATCACCATATAGGATCTTCCAAAACTAGTCCAAGGGAGTAAGAGGTAGGTAGATTGTCCCCTTCTTATGTGTGGTGCTGGAAAAAGAGTGTGGCTTCTCTGGTGGCTTTCTTCAGTAGCTGAAAAAACAGAGAAGTTTGTTCAAGGTCTCTGCAGGGCAAGTGAGCTGTAAGCAGACCAGGGAATCAGTGCTCGAACAGTGCCCAAGCACTACCTTGGTAGTTCCTTCTGAGTTTTATCTCTTCATAGCTCTGCTCCATTACTGTGCTCTGGTGAGTGAGTGTGTGGAGTTCTTATCCTTATGTCTTCCCCAGCAATAAAGCTGAGCCTGAGTCATCCAACATAATCTGGGCATGTCACTGCATGGGAGCTGGTGATTCTGGTGCTCACCAGAGAGGCTGCCAGGCTCCTGAGGCCTCTGCAGGCAGCAGACTGGGCTTCCCCAGCCTCTGAAACATCATTCTCCATAGAGCTACTGGCTGGTGGGCAGAGCCAGCTGCCAGGTTGTGGGGAGAGGCAGGAATTATCCTGAGCATCTCTGGCAAGCAGCAAAGAGCACCTGGGATGGGGGTTGAAGTATGAGGCACTATGTCACATCAGTGGAAAACAGAAAAGATGTAGTGCAAGGCAGCGTCTAGATCCCTGGAAAAGGACTGCACATTTCAGAGAGGCCTGTTTTTGTGACAGAGATCACACCATTATAAATGGATTACAGTGTTTGCTGGGTATCACCACCTGGAGTGAGGCACAGTTAAAAGGATGTCTACAAACCTCCACAGAACTTTCATAGGCAGCACTTCAAGTGCCTGTGAGTGTTTTCCCTCTGCTATCATCACAAGTTCCGAGGGGAGAAGGTCTCTTCTTTCAACACAAGAGGAGCTAGTGCTGGTTGGAAGGCAGGTCAGCAACCCTCAAAGACTCAGTGACTTTGGAGACAGATTCTATGTGAAGGGAAGAAAACATGAAGTTGAGATAATCAGCTCCTCAGTCAGTCACTACAGCATGAAAAGACTTCACAGATCCCTCCTTACTGCCAGCAAAATGCCTGAAGCAGAACAGTGGGGAGCAGAGGAGGAGCTGGATGTAGGAGCAGCACGAGCACTGTGTTGCACAATGACATCTGCTCTCTTGGGCAGCATTCCCAGAGAGCAAAAACCTCCTTTCTCATTCATTGTGCATTTATTTGTATTCTCTTTCAAAAAAATGGTCCAGAGACATCTGAATCCTCAGACTGATAAAAATCTGCAGAATTTCTAGTGCTGCAATGAGTGGCAGTAGGAAAGAGGACAAGGAAAGATATGGAATGTTATGCTAATTATTTTCCTAACTGTGGAAAATAATGTCTGTTTATTGAGCCCTCTCCTGCTTCAGAATGACTCATTTATCTGCTGATGTAGACTTGGTGCAGGTAGGCTGGGCGGTGGGTTTGACAGTGTTGGCAGGCTGTCACTGTGACAGGCGTGCTGGAAGGGGAGTGCACCGAGGAGAGATCCTCGTGGCCTGGAGACTGCCAGGGCAGCTTTCCACTTTCTGCTGAAGAAAATTTACATGGCTGGGGGTGTTCAAAGAAGTCTGATGGAGATGAAAAAGCTCCTCTGTAATGGAGTTTGTACCGTCATGTTTTATATTCTTCTCTTAAGGCTGATACTGGTGACGAGGTGAAGCAGCAGGTCCAACTGAGGGATGCATGGTCATAGAGCCTGTGGAAAACATAATTTTGTTTTGCCACACAGCCTGCTAATGAGCTGGGAAAATCAGGGAATAAGGCTGACATCCTGTTTTTTGGATGCTGTATTCGGGAGCAGAAGGAAGAGTGGGACTGAAAGAGCAGAAACATCAGTTGGGGAAAATTTGTGTAGTGTTGTTGGAACAGGGATGTGTAGAGCCTAACAGCAGTCAAGAGAAATAAAAGTGAAGAATATGAATTGACCAGAAGAGGTCAATATGGCCTGCTGGTGGTAAGGACAGGTGATAACAGGGATCATTCCTGTAGAGCTGTGGTACTTACTTCAGACAGAGTCTAGGATATGATATTATTAGGCATGTTTATAAGCATGTAGCCAAGCAAGGAAGGAAAAGCTAAAAGGCTTGGCTGAAAGCCTAGTGTGGTGCATCTTAGCTGTAGAGCATCACTGTTACATACGTGAACATTCTCTACTTGTAGCTTGTGTTAGTAAGAGAGAACAATTTATACAGAATATAAAGACTGAGGCAGTTCCTGAAATATGACCAGGAGACTCTCTCGTGGAAATCTCTAGAGTTTGTTAATCGTGGTCAACCTTATTTCAAACAGTCAATCAGATGCTGTTCACATACAATGTTTCCTTCGGACTGGGGCAGTTCAGCACTGCCTGGAGTAGAATATGAGGTAAATATCTGTTCACACCTGCTCACTACCTTGGGAAAAGTTGTAATGTGTAACAGCTTGCATCAGATAATCTAAAATACATGCCTGAGTCCAAGAACTAGTTTTGTTAGCTTGCAAATACATCACTCCAAAATGTACAGCAACAAGAGAGACAAAGATAGTTGTTTAGAAGATCTTTGTAGGGGTCACAGTTTTGTCCATTTACACCATAGCACTGTATATTTAAATGGCCAGTGGACAGAAATGTTGTTTTATACATAGCTTTTGATTTGACCTACATGACAGCTGATGATCTGACCTGGACATTGAGCCTCAGTGCTCCCTATTCACAGGACTGGTTCTCCTTTAAAACACTGTCACGCTCTGGAATTTCAAATCAAAGCATGACCATCATCTCATTTAGTACTGCTATAATAAGGTTTAGGTCTTGTGTGTTTTTGAAACATCAGGCAGCGTGATTATAAATAAAGTTGCTTTGATGACTCACTACAGTAACACCAGGGCTTGTCTGTAAAGATGAGTCAGAGCGCAAGAAAGATAAGCGTGCACTTGATATAGAAAAACAATTTCACCTTCTCTTTTCCAACTGGACACCTGTTCTGAACTCGCAGTGTCTTTGCACAGCTTTGCTTCAGCTTGTTTAGGACTGCAGTGTGCTCTGGGCAGAAGAAATGTGCTCCATGGAGTGAAATAGCTCCTTTCCATTACGGAGAAGTTCTCAGAGTAGGAGTTTAGAGCCCACTGGGACACGAGTGAGAGAGAGGAAAGGAGCATGAATAGGGGAGAGAGGGCTTTGAAAAATCCCAGGCCACGATTACACCTCCGGTGGGTGTTGGCTAGGCCCCCTGCGAGTGACCAAAAGTGCTATAACACATTTGTTTGTGTTAGGTTAACATTTTTCCAGCTAGTAGCAAATATAGGGAAATTAAAAACCTACTTCAGCAGATAATAAAGGATTACAGCATCCTCGGGCTTTGGAGGACTCAGAGCCCAATGCTTTGGCAATTTTTCCAGTTGTTTGTGTCCATTTTATTTCATTCCCCCGTGGCAGCAGAGCCATTCAGATAATGGCTGGGCCCTCCTCCCGTTCTTGCAGCATGTGGGTGGTTCCCCTTGGCAAAAGGCAAACCCTCTTCTGTGCAGCCCCGTATCCCAGGCACATTCCTCGGGAGTGGACCACTGTGATCCTCTGATTTATGGTGGAAAAATAACCAAATTAAAAAATGGGAGGGGAGATGACAAAAAGGTTGGGGCCTGTGGAATTAGACCTGGGTTTATAGAAAATTTATGTTTTAGTTAGGAAAACCCAGCAGCTGAAAAGGTTTTTGTTATGATGATTGCTTTCATAAACCTGGGGTTTATATTCAGGGTGCATTCAAATTCTGTTTTGTAAGCCCGGCTTTACATAAGCTGTTTTAAAAACTGTCAGATTCTATGATCTTTTTTAGGAAAAAACCCAGCAAACCCAGGCATTATAAGTTCAAGTTGTACATACCCTCCCTGTTGGTAGAACAACATGATTTGGAGAAATGTTTTCTTTACTGTTTGGCTTCTTGCAACTGCAATGTTCTCATTCAAGATGGAGAAGGTCAGAGTTTTTTTTTTTCCGTGAAATCTGAGAGGTTGATTAACCACAGCTGGAGGAGTGGGTGGACTGTTTCCCCAGGACATGGGAGACCTACATTTAATCCTATACTTGAACTTAATCTAAAGCTCCCTTTTTTGGGTACCTACCCCTATCATTTCGCAGTTCGAGACAGGATAGGGTCACTTGAGCTCAAGTGTAGGAACCAGAGATGCCAGTCCAGCTCTGAATTTTCCAAGGAAAAAACAGCACCAAAACTGAATGTTTCTGGAAAAAAAAAAAAAAAGTGGTTCCAGTTGGCATGAGCATTTTCTACAAATTCAGAAAAAAACATTCAGTCAAAACTCTGGTGGATCAGCTCTTTGTTTTGTAGGTGTAATGTGTAGTTTTACCCATTTTCTTTTGTCAAACTTGGCTATGACTGAACAGAACACGAGAAATTGGTAGACAGGATTGATTTAAAGTGATAAGGTACATATAAGTGGTTAAATTAATTTTACCCTCTGACAGAGAGTGGAACTGAAAATGTTTCAATACATCTAAACAGGTGACTGCTTCAGCTCTTGTCTGAGAACAGATATACTGAATTTGTAGAAAATGTGCTCTGCTTGCTAGCCAGTGTTTATTAGAAAATCTGTAGTCTGAGACCAAAATTTAGAGTGCTACTTCTAATTAGACTTAGAGTTCAGGGCTACAGAGGAGCATGAGAGAGCAATTTTTGGCCTGTGGGCTATTGTCTTTATCCTTGTATGAGATGTCACTATCAGCTCTTTTCTATACACCAGAAACTCAGTTTTCTTCTTTTAATTCTCTTCTTCCCCATTGAGACAACCTTGTATTTCTGAAATAGTTCCTGTTATATTAGCAAAGTTTCTTTTAAATATATCTGAAGCACAATGGGATTTTTTTTTTGGTTTTGTAAAAAGGCACAGGGATTCCTCTTAGCTCCAGCTCCAAGTTCCCTTGTTGCATCTGCTGGTTTTGCAGGAAAGAAGGTCTAAGACACTTTCCTTAGGGTGGAGATCAGGGAAGGAAAAAGCAGGAGTGCGGAAGACCACCTCTCACACATTAATTATCTTGGCCTTTCTGCTAGTGTTATCAACAGGAAAGAAGAAAACTCTTTTTGAAGGCCGGCTAAGGATTAAGCCACCCCTTCAACCATGCCATCAGTTCCAGCCATCTATCTCAGTGTCCAGCCATGGTCTACTGAGATCAGATCTTGCACCACAGAACAAAGAGGTTGTTTTCCTTTTTGCCCAAATACGCCCTGTTTCTCTACTAGGGGATTTTTGCAAAGGCAATGCTGAACAGAGAGTAGCTGTGGGCACTGGCACGGCTGGCTTCTCATGGCATGCAAGAAACTGCCACCAGCCACCTGACATCAGGGGGAAGGTTTGATCTGACTAGTGAGAGGGGAAAGCTTGAGTCAATGTGTGCAATACGCATGTGTGTCACCACTACACCACTTTTTTTGTTCCATCTACCATATTATTTTGAATCTGGTGGAAAATTGGGTGGAGAAGGCAGCCAACACATAAAGATAAGTGCTTGTGCATGAGTGTAATATGTATATGCTAATCCTCTGATATGTTTTCCTGTAGGTAGAAACAGCACATGGAAAAGAGAAACCCAGGGCTGGAAGTGAATGAACAACTCCTGTTCCACAGTATGAATCCATCTCATATACCTGTTGTCTGTAAGCAGAATTTTGGCTGGAGGTTCTGTGAAACTCATGGGACAGTGTATGGAAAAAGTATAAGGGTATGAGCTGGACCTGCATCAAAATTCTTGGGGAGTTTCAAGTGTGCAAGGAAAATGCTGTGCTTTCTACTGTGTGGGTCTGATCCTAACTCTTTAGATCTCTCACAACCAGTAAAGCAACAAAAATCAGTGGTGAATGCTGCTAGATCAGCCCCATCTGTTGACAGCTTAAAATAAACTCAAGCAGAAACACCTGGTAAGGATACGTTTGGAGCTACCGGGATAGGAGAGAAAGGAAGGTGCTTGTTGAGGATTTGGCTGCCTAAGTGCAGATAGCAGATTTTTGTCACTTTGGTTTATGCATTTTTTTACCCGTGGCTTTTTCTGGTCCCTAGGAAGCTGCTTTGCTAGAGATGCCACTTATTCTCATCAGTGTTGTCCACCCAGCACAGACCACCACAGCATGTCTGTAACTGAAGTTCTTGTTGGAGATTTTGTTTCAGGGAAACTACAAATACTGTTGCCCTCCAGCCAGACCTGGGATTTCAAACAGCTTTTCCAAAATTTCAAAATTTTGAACAGCTGTGTAGATGATAAAAAAATATCCTGTCATCTTTGAGAAGCACCAGATTTACGTGGCATGTATCTTGGAGGATACACATTCATTCTGATAAAGATGATGGTGGGGGTAACAACATCGTGCCTGGAAACAACACTTTAAGGTTTGACTTTTTTGAGCTCTGTGTTGCATGTAAGAATCTCATATCTGACATTCAGCTATACTGCAGCTGTTTCACTTACAGGAATGAAACTACAAGTATAGTAACTTGAGGAATGGCTGGGTCCTCTAAGAGTTGTTTTCCTCCCGAACAGGCTGGTAGCAGTTACATCTTAACAAATAATATAAGCACAACAACATGGTGATGATTTGGGTACAAGTGCAATATAGATTTAAATGTGCATTGTGGTTAATTTCTAAAACAAATTGCTTCCATGTAAAGTATGGTACATAAGTAGATGTTTTTTAGGACATGGGGAAATGAGTACAGAAAATGGGGGATATGGAGTGTAAAAAGCATGTTTGAGGGGTGACTCTCTGGAGTTGTTTTTCCACAGAAAAAAGATCATCAGTATCTTGTCAGTGTAAGAAAAGTAGACAATAGGCTCTGAGCTGTTTTTGTCCTGTGGTTTGGCTGCTTTAAATTTTGTGGCAAGAAAAGGCTTTTAGATCATATCCTAAAGGACTGTTACATCATGTTCCCTAATTTCTCTGCTGGTCCCTTTTGGTTATCTTGCAATAAGAATCATAAGGGCTCTAATTCAGATGGGAAAAAAATATATTCCTGGATAACAAAAAGGCAAATGACTCACTGGTCTTCCTCAGTCTCCTGTGGCCACTGATTGTGTGCCGAAGCCACCCATCTTCACATAACCCTTCTGCGAGAGCAGGGAGATGCCTCGAGCTCTACTGCAGTCCAGTCATACCACAAATCAAAACAACAGTAATTTCCTGCTCTTCTAGAAAGAGCAAAGTTGATATTTTGAGTTGTCTGTGCCCTTCTGAACTGCAGGATGAGCTGGGATCTCACTTTGAGCTTATGCAACCTTCCTATGCTATAAGGTTATGTAACCTTCCTCCCAAAACTCAAAGTATGAGTATGAAAACTTCCTTGGATTCACACTGGGATATTGTAGTGCACTTTTCTTTGGTGTTGCCACACAGGTGTGCAGCAGCCTGCTGTGTGCTTGGCTCCCATGCTGTGGGCAGCTGTGGGCAGCTCTGGCGTGTTTGGGTGTTAAGCTGGATCAGGAAGAGGGGAGCAGAGTGGTGGTGCCTTTGCAGGGAGCTGTTGCTCAGCTTTTGCTCATGGTGAGAGAAGAGTAAGTAATGGAGAAATGAGGAGACAGCAAACTCTCCTGTGCTTGCCTGAGGATTGGTCATGGACTAGCTGGAAGCAGCTCCCTTGAGTTCTGCCCTGGTGCCTTCCCCTACACTCAGCTCTCCTCCACACGCAGCCCTGGCCCCTGCTGGTCTTGAAACACTTCAGCAGACCCATAAAGGGGCCAAGGGTGCAGGGCAACATGACTACTTTCAGTCACGTTCCCTCTTCTGGGGATATTGTCTCCCACTCTTGCCCAGAGCTGGGTTTGGGATCATATTGTTAGAAACACTTGAGTGCTGGTGGCCACATCCTGGCTGTCCACTGGGAAACACCATGAGCAGTTCTGCAGCCTCTGTCAGCGGGAGACTCTGGGAATGTAGGAAACTGATGTTAGAAAACATCCTGGGAACCCCATAACTAATGTTGGGGATGGAGTTGGCTTTGTTCCCCCATCACTGCCAGGACTTCTCACCCTGTTTTTCTGTGTCAAGTCTGCCTGTCCTACTGGTGACACCCTGTCCCGGACCAGAGAGCTTCCCTGGGCTTACTTCAAGAGAAGCAAGGATATTGCAGCTTCTGAAGTTAGATCTCCACCATGCCATGACACCAACAGCGAGGAAGTCTGAGGTGAGCTGAATAATGGCACATGACAGCATCTCATTGAGGCTGTGGCTGCAGCAGTGAGGGGTGAGGTAAAGGGGCTTTGTGAGGGGTAGTCATTGGCACAGCCACCTCCTTCCCATCCTGCAGACTGAATCTGGTGGTGACTGTTTGGAATTATGCTGCTGCTGCCTGGCACTTCTCTTGATGATTGAGAATTGCCCCAGTGATGAGTGCTCTTACTGGGATGGATGAGCGATTGTTCTGAACTTTCAGCTTATTTAATATTTTCTGTAGGAAATCCCCAAAGTAAATGGGCCCCTGGACTGAACCTTTGCATTTGGTTTAGTTCCACTGTCTTATCTTTCTGAGGGGAGCTGGAGGATTTGATCAGAAACTGAAGGTTTTCCTTAAGCAAACTAGCGCTTATCAGGAGCATTTTGGACAGAGGATGTGTATCTCATTTACCGGAGTTAAGCACAGGGCTTTTGAAAGCAGAAGGTAAAAGTGCATCGGAAGGGATGATATTTACTATAGAACAACTCCAGTTGGTGATAAGGCTGATCTTTTAAGTCTCTCTCCAATAATCAGCACATCAAATCCAAATCTGCTCTTGCTCCAGCCCACCTGTCTCGCTCGGTGGTGTTGGGGTTTGCTGGGATGTAGGTGCTTTGTGTTGCGTGCTTATCAAATCTCATATTCCTACTCCTGAAGTGTTCCTGTCTGTTTGGATAGCAAACATTTCTATGCAGTGACAGTCTGAGGACCACATTTTATTGATTCACTAGTTTCTGACTAAGGGCTGGAGGTGCAGATGTGTGGGTGTCTGAGATGGACTTTTGCCATTACTGGGTACAAATATTTTATCTGCAATGCAGAATACCCCCAAGGGTTTTTAGTTAACTGCTTCCTGTGACTGCACACACACACAGGAGTCTACTGCTATGTTTTTTATGGAAGTCACATTTCGGATTCCTGGTTCAACAAAAACACCCTGCATTGACTGGCTTGTAACAGAGCAAACATTGTTGGTTAAATCACATGCTTTCTTCCTTCCTGCTCTGTTGTTAAACCTTGTAACTCAAAATCCAGGTCACCTCATTTCAGGCTTTTCTGAAGGTGAGGGGGGACATGACTACTTCAATTTGGCCAAACACTGTTGCATAGAGCATTTTGTAGTTTTCAGTATTTAAAGATTTCTTTGTTAATGAAGTGCTGGAGAACTGAATGTAATATCTTGCTGTTTGCTGTGCATCTTGCTCAGTCTCTGGACAGCTTTCATGTGAGGGGTACCACACCATTGGAGGATACTGCCCCTCCATGTGGTCAAGTCTGAAAGGGACTATTATAGGTGTATTGTTATATTTTGATTCAATTATTGTGTGATAAAGGTAAAAAGTGACTTCTGTTCATTGTGCTGCAGGAGGAAGTGAAAAAGATGAACTTTGACTGGTACTGGGGAATACCTGCTGACCAGAGATGGCACAGCTGGCTCCAGTGTATTTACTGGAAGCAGGTTTGGTGTCTGACAAATAGATAAGACGTTGTCTAACTACCTGGAAAGCCCCATGTCGCTTAAAATAATTACTTATTTACCCTGCCCACAAATAAACTCACCTTATCCCTATAATAGAGAGGTGACTGTGATAAATGTAACTATTTTCACTGCGTGAGATTTATAACTTCCATGAGAAATCAGTGCTTTTGTTTCCTGCAGGTCTAGATAAGATTCATAGAAAATGCTCCACTTTAGTATTAGGGCCTCATATCATTGTGTCACTTTTCTGGCAACAAATATAATTTGGATGTTCTAAAAATACCTTAAAACAATTAAAATTCCCTTTAAAATAGTTCTGGATAAAGAAATAGTAATAATTAAAAATGTTAACATTGTTCTTAAGGACCCAAAAATCAAGGCAGAAAGAGAAATAAAACCAGTTCTCTTCCTATGGATTTCAGAATTCCCTTCTCACTCTTTAAACTGTGTTTTTTGTGTTGTTTTTTTTGTGTGTGTGTGTGTGTGTGTTTTGTTTTTGTTTTTTTTTATAAAACATGTCTCAAGCCCAAAACCACACAATCAACAATTCCCCAGTCATCTTTTATAGTGAGGTGACAGGCAGAGCAAGATTAAGGTAGCTTAATATTATCCCCTAATTTAATTACTATTCATTATCAAATACTCTGTTGCTTAAAACAGAATTGCAGCTCCAGTCCATATTTTTCTCTCGGAGGGAGTTAACTCTTCAGGGTGAAATTAGGCTCCACGGATTGAGGGGGGTTTTTTGAGTTCTTTGTATTACAACAGGAAGGAGCAACACTAAACCCCTCAAACCTCTGCCCTCTCAAAATTACTAGCAGCTTAGAAAGCTGACTCAGATGTTGGGTTTCACCCAGAAAGCTGACTTAGATGGAATTGCTGAAGGTCAAAGCCTTTGCCAGGATGCCACCTGCATGAACAGTATCAATTAGATGTTCTATCTTGTGGGAATTACTCAACTTCTGATTTGCTGGTATTAAAATGAGGTGTTGAGATGGCTATCACTGATACCACTGGTGTGTAAAGGTCTTTGAATATAAAGGCTGGATCTGCAAAATTGAAGTTTACAGCAGCAAATTTTAGATTTTCAACAACCCTGCCTAGTTTTCAGAATTCGAGTTTTTTAAAGCCTAAGTTGAATAGGAAAAAAAAAAGTTTTCTCAAACCAGCCAGAGACATTTATTTGTGTTGTTCCTCGACACTTATTATTTACACCTGGTCCTCTCCAAAGGGTCTTGGAGACAGAGCTACCTAAATGTGAGCTGTACCCTGAGGTATATCAAGCACATTCATTAATATGTCATTGTGGCTGTTTTATACACATTTACTTTGCCATCAAATGACTGTTTCTCAAGTTGACATACTGTAATACAAGGACAAAACACTGCCTATTTCTCAGAAGGTGCAGGGTCTGTAAAGACAAGCAGCTAAGATAAGTTAAGCAAGACTGTCTAAATGTCAATATTTAGACTCTAGAAAGTGTATCTCCATCAAATACAGCAGGCTCCTTCAGAACATCAAATACACCAGAGCAATATTGCTCTCTGAAGTGCACCCCAAAGTCTCTACTGTTGGTCAGGTTGGTTCATTGTTCAGAATTCTTTGAATATTCCATGGAGCACAGGCTGAGATTCAACAGACCATTGCACAGAAAGGAGTGCACAGTCTATATAAACCTCAAATACTTGTAATATTTTATGGAGATACATTTTCTAGAGTCTAAATATTGACAGGTTATCTTGCTTAACTTATAATAATATCTAATAAAATCTAATCATGCATGGTTTTCTTTGCTATGTACATGGTTTTCTTTCTTATCTGACTAGTTCCAGTGAGCAGCTCTGTCCTTGGTGTGAATATTCTCTGTATCCTGTTTCTTTCTTGCACAGGTTAAAAATGTGTTGTCTTTACACAATTTATACTACTCCATAGTTATTATCCGAAAGGAAGGGAAGGATATTTAAACACACGTTAAAAAAGTGCTGGGTTTTTTTTCTACATACCATTTGAACATATTGACAAAACCCCTGCAATTTACTAAATTAACTCTGAATTAATTCAAAACAGGTTTTATTTGAATAAATTCTGGAACTTGAGTGTAATAGTAACATATATAAGTACATAAGCATGTGAAATTCTTCAGCCCTGGCAGGATAAAATACTTTCTGGCTGAAGAAATGAATCATTCAATTTTCACTTTTTTCCCCATTCTTCTTATCAAGTGTTTAACAACATGCAGGCTTAAACAAATGACGTAGACAAACATCTGTCCTTAAATAGCAACAATTCTACCTGTCAATAAAGTTGTTTTTCTTCCACCACGCTGGGCCTTGAGTTCACAACGCAAGGACTGGGCGAGCAGATGACATTTATTGATACTGTGAATTACCATCTACTTTTCTGCTCCTGCTACAAACTGAGTCCTAATAATAGTAGAGGGGTTGTGTGTGCTCAAAACACAGAAAGAACACAACATCATTTCTCTACCTGAGCAGATCTTGCAACTGTTTTTTAAGTAGTATTTTAAAATACTCAATCCCTTTTAGGAGGATACATGTTCTTGGCCTCTTTAATTGCTCTTGTTTTGTAAAGTTGCGTGAGAACAAGTTCTGTGTCTTAGGTCACACTCATCTGGATCTTATTTCCTAATGTTTCTGACAAACAAATTAGTGGGTGCCCCCTTACTAAATGAATTAATGAGGAGTCCCAGTTCACTATACACTTATTGAAGTAATAGCTATGTTTCCTTTGGGTTTCTTAGTGTGAGCAAGGCTCCCAAAAGTGATACTACTGATCTGAGGAGTTCTCTGTGTCATTACAATGATGCTCCTGCCACTTCTCTTGCTGTTTGTTTCAGCTGCTTAGCAACTGTAACAATGGTCCATCGGACTGCCGATATCTCCGAAGGGTTTTGAAAACTCACTGTTTCGTGCCTGCTGGCCATACCAGAAACACTTTAGTACCTACTGGCCTTCCTTTAGAAATAAACAAACATTATCTTTGTGTTTCAAAAAGCTTAGCCTGTAGTGCACCTAGTCTATCTTCCAGAGGCATGTTTTGAATTTTAGCATGTCAGCACAATGCTGTTTCTTTTATTTTAGCTCCTCTTTAACCACTAGAATCAGGCACTTTCTTACCTGTCTCCCTCCTTCCCTCTCTTTCTTCCACCATGGTTTTATTTTTTCTTTTTCCTGGTCCTTAAAAATATTAATTTTATTAGATTAATTTTAAAGTTTTGTATGAAATGATAGGTATTCTTGAACAAACTTATATATAGATAGGCACACAAACAGTGTTAATGTTAGTACACATTAATACAAACTTTTATGCAAATTAAACCTAAGCATTTTTGATTTGCAGTTTTGTTAGTCAAAAATACATCTACTCTATACTGTTAGGATTTTACATTTCTGTGTGAATGAACCTGAGACTACAAGAGAACTTCGAATAAAATTTGAGATAAGGGCACAAGACAAAACACAGAGGGTACTTTATGTTACTTATGTTTCAAATGTTACAGCTTTAAAAAGAAAGCTCCCATCTGCAGGGATCTGTCTACCCAGATGCCTCCTGCTAGGAAACGTGCCCTAAGTGCTTTGTGATGGACCACACTGCTGTTGTCTCTGCCTGCAGGGAAGCAACTCCTCAGGCTTGGGAGCTGTTTTAGTGAAACAGCTGAGGAGGGCAGGCAGAAAACGCCTTCCACAGTCCTTCCTTCTCTACAAGTCCTCTGCTACCTCCCTCCCCAGCCTCCCCTCAGCCATGGGTTTGCATCCTAGAAGCAGGGGAAGAGAGCACAGCAAGGGCCTGTCCTGCTGCAGTGTGTTTCACATGAAAAGAAGAGTAAGACAGACAACAATAATTGCAAAATATCCCTGCTCTGAAATCAGGCAAACTGCCAGAGAGCTCTTATGCAAAAAAAAAAAAAAAAAAAAAAAAAAAAAAAAAAAAAAAAAAAAAAAAAAAAAAAAAGGCTGGAGATTCAGCTTTCCCACATAAACAGCTTCCTTTCAAAATCAGAGTCCAGGGCATACAGGCACACATTCATATAAAGCTAGTCTTTGCTGCTGTTCCCCAGCAGTCTTTAGACATCAAATATGTACCACCCATCCAATGTCAGCATTATTTCTGCCATTTCTCCACCAAACAGTGCAAGCTTGGAATTGGGGACTGTGATAGATCTGTTTGTTTTGAGTAATTAATTAATCTTCCCAGGTTCTGTCTTCCCATGCAGGAGGAAAGGAATTGTTATCAGAAGGTAGTGCCTGCCAGAACGCAGGGTGCCCTCTGACAAGCAGGACCTCAGCTCCACCAAACATCCCCACGCCCTCAGAACAGAAAACTCAATGTTCTGTATTCTTATGGCTTGGAACAAGCAAATATTTCATCACAAGCTGTACATTTCTAAACTGATCTGTCTTGCACAACATCAGTGTGCATTCAGGCAGTTCACTCTAATTATCACTTTGTAACGTTTTGCATCTGCTTCTGTTAAGTCACTGAAGTTCCTGGTATGTTTTCTTGAGTTGTTTTATTTTTAAACAAATTATTTCTGTGACTGGCTGTCAACAGCTGTGCTGTTCATTTTGCGCAGTTTGAATATACTAATTTTCTGCAGTGTGCCCTGATACTGCAGCTCAGCTTCAAACCTGAACCCACAGAATTCCTTTGATGGGCTGTTGATTAGGCTTGTGGTTCATCCCTAATTTCAGGTTTTCCCCCAGACTCGTAGAATTTGTTCTTGAATAACAAATTGTACAATTTATGCCCTACAGAAGTATAACAACTGTTAGTGGTCTTTTATAAGGTTTTCTCAGTGTTCCAAAGAGCTCTCCAGCCTCAACCAGAAGCAGGCTGGTGCATGTGGGGGAGATGTTTCACTCCTTGGAGATAGCTGGTGTCACCCACTGCTTTGAGGTGGGGGTTGGTCTCGTCTCTCATGTAACAAACAACAGAAAAAGAGCAAATGATCTCAACTTGCACCAAGGAAGGTTTAAATGGGATATTAGGAAAAATTTCTTCACTGAAAGGGTTGTCAAGCACTGGAACAGGCTGCCCAGGGAAGTGGTGGAGTCACCATCCCTGGAGGTATTTACAAGATGTGCAGATGTGGGACTTGGGGACATGGTTTAGGGATGGACTTGGCAGTGCTGGGTTAATGGTTGGATTCAGTGACCTTAGAGATCTTTTCCAGCCTTAATGATTCTATTGTAGATGCCATCCTCATTTGGAGTAAAATAATGAAAGTTCAGAGAAAACACAGAATAAAAGTACGATACTTTAAAAAGTGGAATTGTATGTTTATTTTTATAGTTCTAAATTAAATACATTTTCTATGGAATGTTTCAATCATTTTAAAAAATAACAGTCAGTATCCAATGGACAAACTGTCTAATGTATGTCTGAAGCAGTATCTGTTGAAAACAGTTTAGTGCAAAGTTTCTGATGTTCATGTTCATAGATATTGTCCTGGTTTCTTTCTTTCTCTAGTTCATCAGTGCATAATCTTAAGTGTGAATTTGTTAAATTTAATGGGTTCTTTCCTCTCTAAATTGTACCAGTAGTAATTTCAGATGGCACTACATTGCCACAAACTTGGGCAGACTGGCATCCATTAACAGTGATGTGCTGAGACTGGTTGAGGTGCTCAAATTGATGAGGACACCTGTATGGTCCTCCATTCTTCTGTTGCTGTTTAAGAACATTCAAGTCAACAATTAAGCAATTAGATACATGTCAGTATTTGCTTGGTCTTATCTTCCTGAAAAAATACCCAGGCGGTATCAGTTTGGACAAAACCCAGAGATTAAATACTCCAAGTGAAAGAGTTGGAAGTTTGTGTTTATACTGATGTTCTCTCGTGTTGCTCTGTGTGACAGTGTTATTGCTGACAGCAACAGCAGTTGTTCAGCAGCAGCCAGCACTGTTACCATGCTCTAAGCAGTGAGGCATAAGCAAACCACCAGTGATGTATATTGCATGTAATAATTTTCAGCCACAGGCAGGATACTGGCACCTTGATTTTAAGGTTTAGTTTTGTTAAAATGTTATTTTGAGACTACTAAACAATAAAGGCATAAGTTGTTATATTGTGGTGGGATTCCACACTTTTCATGACTAGGTGGGTGACAAAGAGTGCCCTGTCCCTAACAGGTGGTGTGTCTGGAAGGCTGCGATGGTGTGTGTCCCTCGGGCAGAGAGGGTTAAGCCATGGAGGCTGACCCTTTAAACAAAGGCTTGATTCATGTCTTTTCTTCCTTGAAGGGAATGACAGAAAGAAACGTAAGTAAAATACAGCAAAAGCTGTTGTGAAACAAGCCCGTTGCTGTTCTCCGAAAAACAAGTATGTGAGGATTCATTTTTAGAGGCGCGCTGAAGCAGGGGGACACCAGGGGGTGGCCACAGCCACTCTTCCTCCAGGGGCTGTCACTGCCTTGCCAGTGCCAAGGACTAAAATTGTCCGGCTTCTTAGAAGAGGACGTGGTCCTGACTGTGTGCCACAAAAAATGTCTGCTGTGCAAAACCACAAGCTATTTCCCACTCCAAAGCAAAATCTTTAATAGTAGCTGTTCTTGCAGTAATTGGTGGATGACTGCTGTGCAGAGGACTCCTTTCTGTCAGCGTATTGAGGCTTGCAGGGTCTGGGGGATGTCCGCAATCTCAGTCAGGTGTCTGTCTGTGAAAATGAACGTTCATTTCATGGCCAACTGAAAGGTTAATCTTCATCCAACAATTAAAAAGTAAAAAAACCAAATGCATCTATGGAAAACAGCCGATAATAAGTTTCTATGGCTCATAGCAGTGTTGACAAATTTTACCACAGACAATGGGTTTATTGATTCTGGCAGCACTCCTTGACCATCAAGAAAGTAGCTATTACTGAAATTTTTGGCGTTGATATATTAAGGGTTTGTTATTTAGAATTTGGACATTCAGAAGCATGGGACTGCACATTTTGAAGCTGGAGGAATGGTACAAAACTGAAATGTATTGCTCTTAACCTGACTACGTGGTTGTCAATACATGCATCTTAGCGTACAGCTCCGACAGTTTCTTGCAACTGCACCAGAATGTGCTTATAAATGAAAGTTAGGAAGTAATAATTAAAAAATTTCAAATAGCCCTAGGTAAGATCATGAAAAATAATTTGGAGCAGAGAGAGCTGTAGACTTTATGTTTCATTGTATATACATATGCATATATATATATAGATATGTATCATTGAAAGCTGCTAAATGAAATCACAGCTGCATTAGGCAAGTTCTGTAGGAACATGGAGGAATATCTGTCTTCATATTTTGAAAAACTGTGTTTGTGATGCTGCTACATCCCCACTTTTAAAATTACTTTTATTCTGAAATGCATAAACTTTAAATGAGACTTTTCAAAACAGGATTCAACCTTTTCAATCCAATTGCAACATGTTTTGTTTGAATACACACACTGAAACACGAAATGATGACAATAATTATTCCTGGAAGGTATTAAAAAGTTGATCCGTATGCATAAATTGAATTATGGCTCTGGCAAAGGTGCAATATAAGCAAACAGACATAGTATAAACACTTAATACTCCTCTAGCATCTACTGCCAAGGTCCTCTAATGATTTTAAATCACTTCAGACTGTTACTGTGAGATAGCCTGCCTGTACTCGATTACATATGCACAAAAATAAGAAGATTAAAGAAAATGTCAAGAGGACAAAAGGGATTTCTTGAAAAAGTTAGTGAGGGAGGGCCAGGAGCAAACTTAGTGAAGATGGCACCAGCTGCAGTCTCAAGGACTGGCTGTTCAAATTCCTTGAGCAATAGAGAGAAACCATAGGGGAACCCAGCTGCCAAGAAGTCTAAAGACATTTCAACAGCACATTTGTGAAGAGTAATTTTGCAAAGACTTATAAACTGACCACACTGGGCAGGTTTTCCTGGGATTAGCAAAAGACATGGTCTTGCCATGAAAACTGCTGCTTTGCCAGACCTGATGTTCTGCTACAAAGCATAGTTTTCCTCATGGAATAGATGTTATAATGTTCCTTGGATATTAATGTTGTTAAATAACAACAATAACCACAAGGAAGCAGCTCTCCAACATGGAAAGTTTCAATATTTGCTCAGAACAAAGCTAGCTGCAGTGGAAATCAAGGTGTTAGAACAGCAGGGATGAAGCAACCCAGTAGTAGTCAGTGTTGTGTCCTCCACCCACTGCAGGGATATATGAGTGTGTATGTTTTGTTGCTATGCCAGCTACAAGTCAGCATTTAAAACTCGCTGCTCATCCACAGCTGTGTGCTTCTAGTAAAAAAACCAATAAAAAAACTAATGGAAAGGTGTGTCATAAAGTGGGGTCACTGCTTTGGCCCAGATGAAAGCCATGGGGGGTAAATACATTCAGGACTGGGAGACACATCCATCTTGCAGTAATAAGGAACCACCAAAGCCAGTGAGAATGGCCTGGACTGTCAAAGCCTCCTTGCCTCTGTCAAACCAACTGTGTCATTTAAATGAATGTTGATCTTGTCGCAGGACTCAAGGACCTGATCAAAAAAAAGAGAGATTCCTTCAGACATTGAATTTAAATAACATGATGGTCAGTTTGTGAAGAGCAAGGCAAATGACCTAATACAACTTTTTACCTTCAGTCTGTATAAGGTTTATTCAGAATGCTGGCAGCAAATGTAGGAAGCACTGTGACATTCCTGACCTGGGGAAGAGGCTTCAGTGACATTTTGCCTTATGTCTTTGAGTCTTTCTCTCTAGGACATCCTCTGCAAAAAACCATGTCCAGAGTGCCAACTGCATGAACAAGAAGAGGACTCTTGGAAACCATATACAGATGGACTGAGCCAATGATGAAAAAGGGGAGAGAAAGGACAGACAGCCTGTAGGTGATGGAGCGTGTGTTCTACAAATCCAGACTGCCTTAAGCTAAAGTAAACAGAGCAAGCTGGGGAAAGTTACAATGGTTTAGATTTTCTAAGTACAACGAATTTCATTTTATTTTGAAACAATTTTCCCTTAAGGAATGTCCTTTCATTTTAATTTGCAAAAGGCTGACAACTCAACTCATCTTATGAAAACTGTTCCCTTTTGCTGGAAAGAATTAATTTTTTTTTTTTTTTTTTGCTAATTCAAAACATTATTTTCCCCTCTCATATTCATCACCCACCTTTCAGTTTCCTCACCATTTCAGTCCAGTACTTGATGGGTATTTAGAAGACAATTTCTCCAGTGGACAGATTTTCTCATAGTTGTTCTCTTATTATTTTTGCCAAATAACCTAATCTGATCTGACATAGCAGTTTGTATTCTTTAGGAATATAACTTTCTCAAGTGCTCAGATAACATGAAATGAAAATGGTGTCTAACTCAAACTGCTCAGTGCCAAAACACAGTGCTTGAAGGAGAATGGGCAACTCACTGAGACCCATCCCCCTGTGCTAGTAAGCTGGAGATGGTCAGTTCAAAAGTCATGGTAGAGCATACACTCCAAGCAGCTCAAAAAGCTTCCCAAGGCCCTCAAGAAAACCTGGAGGTCTGTAGTAAAAGACCCAGCAACCTCCTGTGTTATTTGATGAGGAGAGGAGAGAGTGAGGGCACCCCGACCAGGACAGTTGAGTCCCTGCTGGGTAGAACAAGAGGCAGAGACTGCGAAGGGCAGTGAAAGAAGATTTGATTTAGACTTAGGTAAAATGCTTTGTACCGAAAAAACCAACTTAGCCCTGCTACAGATTATGTAGAGTGAGGATCCCTTTCAGGAAACTCCTTAAGAATACCTGTCAAAATGGTATGGTTGCTTCATCTGGGGTTGGATGTTCTTCCAGAGTTCCACCAGAAGTGGTACTGTCCAGATTCTTCTCCACATTTATTATATAGTTCACAAAGCATTTATTAGCTGTTTTGTCCTCTCCTGCCATGATTTGTCTACAGTACTTACTTCTGAAACAATTTTCCACTATTTCCTCTGAAACAACATTCCCTGACTGTTAGAACTCTAGGACTAACTGGAGGCAAAAAACAACAGCTGGAACATAACCTAAGATTGCATCCACAAGAACAGGAAACCCTTAGAAGTTACAGAGACCCTGGTCATCTCCTGAAACTATGGTTTTCAAAGAATTTAGCTGGATCATGCCTTCAGACCTCATCTCTGTAACCATCCCAAATTGGCCTGGGGGCCTCTTTACCCATTTCTGGGAGCACATCTGTCCTAGCCGTGCTCAAACCTGTCCCACTGCCCACAGACAGATTCTCCAAAATCTTGCATGGATTAGCAATTCTCATAAAGGTGGGAACTCTCTGCGATGCTTGATCCAGGAGCGTGTGTGTGCTGATTTGGCATAAGGCCGATGTATGGGGGCCCATGAGTGCTGATGGCGCAGAAGTGACTCTGAGAGGGTGTAGACATCCACGAGGTGCTGGAGATCGGTGCAGGCAGGGCACAGACATCAGCTTCAACCTGGAGAGAGGCATTACAGTGTTTTGCCCTTCTGACAAGAGCAAACTGAATCACTGAGGTAAAGTCTGAGATTCATTTGTGCATATTGCTGGGAACAGGAAGAGGAGCAAGTAAATATGACTGGATGTGTTATGGCTAGCTGTCTTTTGTCCTGTTTGATCACTTGAAAAGACAGATGACTGCTTACTTTAGTCTATAAGGCATGTTTGTTACACATAAAGATTCATGGACTTTGTTATGTTTGTTTTTGTTTTGTTTTGTTTTTTTTAAACTTGCTAGAATGACACTGAGTATTAATTAAAATTCTGTGACTGCTTGATGGGGAATGAACAAAGGGTAAGTATCAAAGCACTGGTTCTCTGCATCATGCTAATATAATGTTTCCTTATATTAAAAGATAGCACAAACTCACAGAAGAGTAATGTGGATAAATTAAGTGATAATCAATGACAAGAAATAAAATCTTATAACTTTATTATAATTTATTGCCAAAGCAAAAATATTGCCAGAGGAGAAGTTTTTCAGAGGAGGGAAAAATTCTGTGGAGCTGTAACAACATATCATCAACCTTTACACCTTGTTCAGAAGAGGAAAATTTTATTAGATTACAAAAGGACTAGTAATTTTATTCCATTAATAACTAGAAATGCAGAAAACAACAACTCAGTGTGGGCAAGTCCTGAGAACTGACTCATCTCAGAACTTGTTCAGAGAAACGATCTGAACTAACTTATTCATATTGAACATCACACTCAGTAACTAGCAAAACACATTTTTTAATTTTGATCACGTATGGTATAGAAAAAGAAAATAGTTGAAAAAATTAAAAAAAAAAAAAAAAGGAGGTAATCTCTTTTGTGTGTCTCTCTGTCACGACCTTTCAGCAAGGGGCAACTTGGTGGGGCGACTGATCCCACCAGACGTGCAATCTTTGGGAAATTAGACCAGAGGGGTGGAAAGTCCCATCTTAATGCATCACAGTAGTTGCAAATAGGCAAGAACAATTGCTCTTTGGGTTTCCTGGTATAAACAAGATGTGGTTAAATGCAAGCAATCTTTAAACTTCATGATGAACTGAAGCGCTGAACTCAGTTGCTCAGAAGGCTGCAAGAGCTCTCTGGCAGAGGCTGTCAAGATTTTCCTAAACTATATAACCTGAAAAAGAGCTGTGGAAGCACAGGTTCAGCAGAGCTCCTGAAACCTTGTGCGAGGACACTTACCCCAAAAATGTCAAGGAGAGCAAATATTTAAGGGTCAAAAAAGAGTGTAAACCAAGGTCTTCTATGCTATTGCTTAATGCTTTGCTCTGTTTATTGACAGGAGAAGTGAGTTGGTTAAAGGTGGTGGAAATTCCTTTTGTTCTTCTCACTGAGTTTCTGAAAGGCCAAATCTTACCCTCTGGATTTTTAGAGGAAAAGCCTTCATGTTCTTTTTGAGGAGAAAGGTACATTGGAAATGAGAGCCTTCCTTCAAGTAAGACATTAGTGTTTAATTCACTCTGGAAATGGACTGAGGCTTACATGTCTCTGGAATTTATTCTGACACCCGTGCCACTGCAGGCTCTCTCAGGTCCTGCTGCCCACCAGAGCCAACAGAACCTTAGATCCATAAATTCTGTAAGAACAAAAGTCAGTGATGCAATGTTTAGCACTACAGCATCCAAGGCCCTCACCCTGCAAACTGAGATTGTAACTGATCTCCTTCTATCTACTGCTCTCCTACAGTGGGTGGGATGGCTCACAAAATCATATCTGAATGGCCCTGTGCAGAGCATTGATTTATGCCATGGACCCACATGTAGGAGAAATATAGAGTGTTAAATGTTATTTATCTCAAGCTTCTCTTTTTGCCTTTTCTTACCTGCCTGCTTTAATTTTCAAGACCTAAAGAACCTGTAAATACGAAGACATCCCAGCCCCAGAGGAGGGGGATGTGTGTGAGGTGTGCCTGTACTGTGCAACACTTACAGGTATGAATTCACCCACTGTCTCCTGGTTCTGTCAGGGCACCTCCAGGCTGCTGAACAGGCAGTGGGGCTGACAAAGCCCATGAGCATGAGCTGCCCCCAGCTGCATGAGAAGCAGAGCCGTGCTCAAGTTGCTTTCCTGCAAAGCTGCCTTGTGAGACACTCGATGACCAAGACCCACTCACTGCTGTAGGCTTTGGCTTCCTCGACTCGAGAAATACAAGAAAGTTAAGAGGGGAGGGAGTTACTTCACAGCAATGCCTGCAAAGACAGTGATTCATTTATTTATTCTTCTGTGATCACCCTAGACAGATGACTAAGGCAGATCTGCAGACTGATGACCTAGAAAGAGTAGAGATAAATTTCACATGTAGAGAAAAGAAAAAAATAAGTTCCTTTCCCAAGTTCAGTGGTTTACCTCAGCTCAAGCCCTGGCCAACACCAGGAATACAGCACAGAGACTTGCTCAGAGGCTTTTTTTCCTACCTCTTCCCTCTCTCAGGATGAGGTAATTGAGGCCATCTACACCTGTGACTCCTGAAATTAGCAGTGCATAAGCTCATTACAGCTTCTGGGTCTCTCAGGTGGGAGTGTTAGGGTGGCCTGGTTTTTTTCTTGCTGAAGTTCAAGCTGCTGAGATGGAGGCTGCTGGTTTTACTGCACCTTTTCTTTCTCTCAGGTAAGACATTTGTCTTTGTAGGGGTGTGGAAAGAATGGAAGAGTGCCAAGTGTAGTAAGTCTGTTCTGGTAGCTTGGGCTGCTGAGCTCCTGCTGGGGAGGCAGGAACCTGTGAGGTGGCTGCAGTGACTTCTTAGGAACTGAAGATAGACTGGATGGGTATGGGGGGAAAAGTGTTTCTTGTAGCTTCAGACCTGTTCATGAAAAACCTGTCTGTGAACAGAAAGCATCAAGCTACAAAGCAAAGTGGGTGTGAAACAATCTACTGCAGACTAACTGGTTAATCTGTGACTAATATCAACCTGGTGCTAAGTTAATTCAAATGACTTTAGTATTCTGTTTGATTTTTTTTTTTTAATTTTATTTTTGATTTTGACTGCAGTGATATTCCCTGGGAGGCTGTCTGTGGTGCAACTGTTGTGTTTGGGCTGTTGGGCTGCTCTCAGCCTGTGATTCCTTAGTGCCAGTGAAGTGTCATTCATATGGCTCTAGTACATAGGTTCTATGGGTGTCTATGGAAACTCACGTGCCTCATCCCAACACCTGCTCATGGAAACATGTGGCAGGACTCTGCAGAGGGCACGATTTCTGGTCTGTCTGTGTGTGCACACCCATGTGAGGCTGCAATCATAAATACACTCAACCTCCTGGCTGAAAAGCTCCAAATATCAGTGTTTTCTAGCTTTTTATCAAACGCAACTTGAAAGTATTAAGCCCTGAGCAGCGTGTGATGCTAGCATTAGACACATTTCTTTAGAGTCCTCGGCCATAAAATCCCATGAGCAGCATGTAAGGCAAGGTGGGAAAGTTCTCCTCTTCCCATCACATGCATTTCCAGCTAGCTAGGCAGTATCTAACATGGAGGTATTGGCCTGTGTGTTCAAACCCCAACACCCTTGTTTGACTTTTAATGACTGTAGCCATGAATTCCAGAAAGTGGCCCTGCATAGTTAAAAAGTCATATCATGACAAATCTTATGCTCTTTGATTTCCTCTTTTTTTTTTTTGAGGAATATTTCCTAAAATATGAGACTATTTCCTCATTCCTGTACCACAATATAGGCTGTAAATGTAGAGGCTAATGCATCTCCCTTATTATATTGTTTGCAACAGGAGCATATTGGCTTCTCTTCCTACCACACTAAACAAGCTAGTCTTCATAATCCATCATCTGGCTTCCTTGGCTCCTTTACCACCATCTTTACTCCTTTCCAGTCTTGATTCTGCCAGAGACTGTGTTCTGTGGGGTACATTAGGCCTTTATTCCACACAAAGTTCATCAACCTTTACAGGGTCAAAATTACTGAAAGGTTTATAACGTGATTTCCTCGTGCTTTTTCTCTTCTAATTAGTTTTGGTTTGTAATTCTCGTGGTCTAGCACAGCCTATCCACATTTGCATCATAAATGCTACAGAAAGACATACTTTACACAAAGTATGTTATTTAAATGCTGAATTTTACCAGAGCTGCAAAATAGCTTAGGTGAGAGACCTTTCCCTCAAGATGGGCCACATCAAGGCCTCTTTCCTCAATGAACAGGAGAAATCCAGAAGAATGAAGACAAGTGTCCAAGAAACCCTTCCTCAGCAGTCAAGTGTGATTGAATTAGTTGAATGAATTAGTTGTTCATGCACTTGGCAAAGTGAAAGTTTGGAGAACAGAGAACAAGAATGGGTGTGTTTAGCTGCAAAGAGGGTCAAGGATAAGGTTTGGAGGAGGCAAAGATAATCACACAAGATCAATCACTAACGCCTGTGGAGTGCTGCAGCAACTGGGTGAGAATAAGGTGCAAACCAATGTCTTAATTCAGTTGTATCTGTAGTATCTCTGTGCAGCCTGATGGGGTATGTGTTTGGTCAGGAGATGCTGTAGGGCTTGCTCTTACTGTAGTAATAAATCCTAGAAATGCAGTGAAACATTTACACATATTGTGATGGAAGGGGTATTCACATCATCCTTTCCAACATGGAAATAATAGAACTGCTGTTGTGTCCAAAAGAAACAGCAAAGAGAGCAATTTGTACAGTACAAGGAGGGAAGGTTTTGATCTCTGTTCTGTAAGTGTGTTTTCCTGTCACCAGTGACCAGAGTGAGGTCTGGACTGCAAGTGCCCTCCTTCTGTAGGAAGTATATTAAGTTTCTCAGCTACCAAGTACTTCCCCTTTTCACCCCAATGAGTTTCTTATGTAAAGTTGAAAAATTCAGTGGGGTGGATGCCTTCTAGAAGACTGTATTGCTTAGTAACTGAATAAAGTGAGACATGCAGGTTTAAACATCGTAAACATTTGAACCTGACTTGTTGCATCACTTGTTGGTGCTCTTACTGCTGAGAAAAGGGAGCTATAGTGTCCCTCACCCTCCAACCATGCTCTCTGAGAGTGCTTTTATGGCCTCAAACTCTTGATACCCGAAGACTGATTCTGGGAACACAGGAGCTTGAGCCAGGAGAGATGCAGATTGCCAAGAAACTTCATGACCCACAAATAGAAAAAAATTGATAGAAATCCTAAATCATGTAGTTATTTCTAATGTCACTTCCTACATTCCCACTTTGTTGCTTCTTCTACTCTATATTGGGAGGACTGTACCTCACACAGGACCAGAGAGGTAGCACTGGCTTGTTAAACATGGGTGTGGATTTCTGATTCACAATTAAGAAGAACCCTTTTGAATGTTGGAGATTTCACTTTGAAGTTCATCAAGTACAGATCAATACAGTCAATGAAATGAAAAGGTGATCTCCTTATCATCCTGTAGAAAAGCTGTGCAGGACTGTAGTCCCACCACTGAGGAAAAACAGGGACTAACTGTGCAAAATATGCTGCTAAACAGCTGGTTTGGGCTATTCTGGACTGATGAATTCACCAATGCTGAACATGTGAGATGGTTGGGGTCACCTTGCTGGGAAACCTCCCTATTTCACATGTGGGTGGCTCTGGGTGTCACCCTGTAGGTGGAAGATGAGCCACAGTGGCACGAGGAGCAAATAGTTTTCTAAGAGATAGCAGAAGTCTCTTGGCAACTTCCCAGTGTCTGTCCTGGCTTGGGAGATCAACACTGATCAGGCTAACTGGGGGAACAGAACACTTGGCATCAGTT